TTATTATTATTATTATTATTATTATTATTATTAATTTATATTAACTAAGTTAAAGGTCTATTTAATATCTTTATAGTTATATTTTATAAAATATAAGAAAAACTATATAAAAAAACCTCTACCTTACTCTATATTATTCTTAGAACTGCCTTCTATAAAATTATTAGTAACTTCCTTATTCTATACTCTTATAATACTAGGTTAGAAACTTACTATCTTACTAGTAAGAGGTACTATTATAATACATATATAATATAGCTATTTTATAGCTAAGCTACTAACTTATAATATAAGACTAGGTTATATTATATATTTTATAATACTAATATATTACCTTAGTAGGTAGGTTATAGGTGTTAATATTAGCTTAGTAGGATAAAGTTGCCTGCTTAGGCGCTAGTGTATTCTGCTCTAGTCATGTACTCGGATTTTTAACCTAGGCCGCGAGTTAGGGCCTGATGTGTGGTCACCCCGTAGGGCTGCCTCCGGCTAGATTCGAACCAGCGACCCCCCCCCAAGGGGGCCTTCCGTAGCTAACGACCATTGAGCCACGGAGTATATACTAATTTCTAACCCTGCTCTGAAGTATGTCGTGGTACCCACTTCGGCGAAAGCTCGGGTAAAGGCCAGCTCAGGCAGGTCCTGGGACAGGTTATCTCTGACCTCGGAGGTGCCCCCAGACTGTATTTGGCTAGCAGGCCTTGCATCATACTCACCTGTCCACCATCGCCCATCAAATCTGCAAGAAGCTGCTGAACAATGCGGCTGTCGATCCCTTCCCGACTGGACTTGATGATCTGCTCGAGAACTAAATTAGTCTTTCCGAATTTGTCCAGAAAATGCGTACGTCTGGGATAGCTCGACTGTTATCAGGGCATACTTCTGCAGGAGGGCGACCCTGAAAACATTGGTCGAAGCCAAGAGCCAACACTGTCCGCTAAAACTCTTGAGTTGTGATTGAAATTGCCTTAAACGGGACCCTGTGGTTGAATATTCGCTAAACGGGCTGGGCAACAGTCGAGGACCTCAGTACTGGCGTGGGCCCGCTGTGTAAATGCAAGCCTGACTAGAATTAATGATCAATTGGCTCATGCAAATTTGCACCTGCCGGATTGATTATTGGAAACCTGTTCTTGGAGGTCATTGGTAACATGCTAAATGAACTTGTTTGGAGCAGTAGAACCGATGACCTGTGGAGTTATCGGATGCCGGGCCGTTTCTGACTTCTCTCGCGAAATACTGCGATGTAGGTTTCATCTATGCGCAGTCCTTCACCCGATCAATGACTGCCTTCTCATGCCGACTGAGTTGATATAAGGGCTTAGAAGGCTGGCCACCCATCGTTTAATGGTGCTAAAAGAAGTAGTCACTGGAACTAGACTGTCAATATTCACCAAGGGGTTATCAGCAAGCTGACGCGTCGGCGAAGCTGCGTTGGGGACACCAAGGCCCTTAAGTAGCTTAAGGACTCCTAGTGGCACTTTCTACCAGACTGAGAGCGAAATTTAATGCACAGCACGCAGTAGAACGAGGATGGTCTCTGCCGCCATGGTCGTCATCCATGATTGGCACCTCTTGCGTGCCGGCCGAACAGGGCAAATGTGACAAGCGAAGTAGTACCACGATAAGGCTCAGATTCAAGGCGAAAGTTTCAACTAGCTCCAGGTCAGCTAAACGAACAAGGCGATACGGATTGAAGAAACAATACATAAATCCTCAGCACGGCGCGGACAACGAATGTACAGTAAAAGGGGAAAGCCAATGAATGCAAGTAAGAGACGGGGATTGCGAAGTTGGAGGACCATCAGTATATAAAAGTAGAGGTACGAAGGTCTTTGATAATCCTATTCAAAGCTACATAATCCAGCATCAATCAGCTACATGAACAAATAACATATCTGATTCATACATGAGCGAGTAACGCTCTTACAGACGAGAGCCATGAATGACCTTCATGTCAACAGCGAGTTCACGACCGTTGTCGTTCAGAACGAGAGCACGCACGCTGCCGCGGCCAGACTCGAAAGCGCTGCTGAGACGGGACCATAGGTTGGACTGGTCAATGACGGCCAGACTCTGTTTAACATCCCCAGTCTCGGTCATGGCGACAATGCTACCACCCTGGAGGTCAAGCACGCGATATTGCTTGAAAACAGGGCCGAGCATGGTCTGGACGACCACACTGGGGGCCGGATTGGAGACAAAGGAGGATTCCTCATGCAGCTGGCGGGTGAAGAGATCAACACCGAGGTAGCGGTACTGGCCAGTGGCAGACGAGGTAGAGATGCGAATGACCTGGCAGGGGCGTCCTTGCAACATCAGGAAGTCACCAATGCGAATGTGGTGGCAAGGGATGGTGACAGTGTTGGGCAAGTACTGGCTGGCTTCAGAGGGGCGGCCGCGCGGAGCGGGAGCCGGTGCCTCGCGGATCTCCACATCAATATGCTCATCGTGATGTCCACGGGGGTGAACAACACGGTCAGCCAGCTTATGCATGCCGTGGCGGAAGGAGTGGTAGTGACCTAGTTAGAGCAATCATCAGCAATCAGCAGTAGAATGGGGGTCTCATTCGGGGGCAGGCATACCGTCCTCGTCATAGTAACCCATCTTGGACTTTTGTTCGGCGCGACCGAAACGGTAGGGCTCGAAGGTCTCCTCGGTGATCTTGATGTCTTCCTTATGAATGGAAGGACGTGCGTCTACGTCGACGGTATGCTCGTCGACGTGGATGTTCTCGGGCTGGTACGTCTGGTGCAGAGGGGCGTCTACAGTGGTGTTGTATCGAGGGCGATAACGCTCACGATATTCACGTTCAATGTTGTCAATGGGGTTGCCGTAGGATTGACGGTGAGTGTCGACCTCGATGTGAGTGTCTGTGTACTCGTGTGTAGGTCTAAGGAACTGATTAGTACCTTGCTTGGAAATGCTCTTGCTGGTTCAGTCTCTGGGCGGACTGAAGCCCCTGAACCAGGGTAGATGGCGTGGCTTCACCGCACCTCCGGCCCTGTCGCCTAGGCAGGGCTTGCATGGATGGGGACTATTGCCAGAATTGGGAGGCCGGTGCTGCAGGAGCCTGCAGGAGCGAGGTCGGCAGAATTACAAGGGAAAAAAAAAAGGGGCGGGGGGCGGTTGAGCTCACCTGCGATCTTCCCTGACGTACTGCTGCTCCGACTGGAAACCGGGACGGCGGCGAAGATCTTCTTCACGGGTAAAACGGAATTCTTCCTCGTTGACCTTGTGAGAAGAATACTGGCCTTCCCGTCCGGCTGGTTGCTTGACAGGGAGATTGATATCAACCTCCTCGTGAGTGTGAGTGGTCGTCTGCGACTGGCTGTCCCTGTACGTCGAGGGAAAGATGCTGAAGGGCACGGGGACACGGGCTTCAAAGTCCAGATTGGCGACTTTTGCCTAGCGAGAGAATCTTCTCATACAACCTTCCGTAGCGAGCACGAAAGGGTGACAAGAAGTCCTCTGGCTTTTGTCTTTGGAACAAAAGTCGAAGAAGAAGAAAGAAACGAAAGGCAGAGGTCCTCGGTGGTATCTTTTCTTTCGAGAGCAGTGATAGATGAAGTGTGTGGAGGGAGATGGAGGAGAGAGATGGCGGCCTGACGGGTGAAGCAGAGCGTTGGCTTTTGAGGACTGGGGAGACGGGAATTTAGGCCAGCTACATGTTATTACGTGGGCCTGTCGTTGCTTGGGGCTGTATCCTTGATTCGATGCCTTGTGTTTACACGGTCTGGGGGTTTGTTTACTTTCAGCGGAACCGGTATAGCCCGATGATACTCCCCACTGGCAACGCCTCTCATCTGCTTGAGATGGCTGAATTACAGATGCACGGCCGCTCGAGCTGCCTGGCACTTCTAAACTAGCATGGATTACCAGTTATTTAAATTATTACACCTACATGGGGGCGGTGGCACCATGGCGTCTACGCGACAATCGTAAATACCGTTACGCACTAATTTGTCAGGATCACCTCAATACGAACTATCATTTTGTTAAAAATAAGGGTGCACGACGGGCTGTTATGTTGGGCTGGAAGAAAAAGCGGAGAATTTTATCACAATGGCGTTGGCCTCGAACGGTGCGCTAGGTACCTCTGGCTTTGTCGGCTTGCATTGAACAATGCCAGGTGCTTGATGAGCTGGCTGCTGCCCGCACACTACCTACATGTGTCCGTACCTACGGATTAGGTAGGCTACCTATTTAGCACTGGGTATGTATTGTATTGGGCCACAGCTTTGTTCAAGCAAAAGAGAAGTGTCTTGGTTCATACTCCACTATTTCGGAACCCCCTCAAGCACTATTATTGCTTGTCCCGGCCGCCCCCGTTCCCCATAGAGCCGATGTGGGCTCTCTGGGCTCCCGTGTCTCACACGTACCAGTACGTAGGCACGAAAACAAAGCAGTAGTTGGTTGGGTGCAGAATTCGGGCACCAGCCAGGTGGCTACCTATCGTCCGAAGCCCGACATTCCTGTGCCCAACGGGCAGATCTGGCAGAGAGTGTTCAAAAGAACTTCAAAATGGCATTGTGTCACTGAAGCCAGGAACCACCTAATAAGCCTGCCAACTAGCTGCTTCATGGCCACGAGTCAATATCAAGGTGGTGCTCCCAACCTACTACTTACTGAGTATCTGTTGTTGTCTCTAGCGCAGGACGCGTTTTATCGCGCAACCACGCATAGTTGCTACGACAACGGGAAGTATCAGCTCGCTCGTGCGATCGGAGTCTGCGCTAATATTACCATTTCTATGCAGTAAAAGTATGTAGCATGGCAAGGATGATAAATATACCGTTCCGCCATCCGTCACGTTTGCATGCCTCGGCTTCGACCCTGGCCGTGAGTGGCATCCTCGAATAAATTCTCGTTTTATTTATCTGGTACAGTTCCGGTATGACCTGGCTCGACCCCGAGCCTCCATTCAATAACTAAAGAGTATTGCTAGTTAGGGGCATAGTACTGCGCGTGATGTTGGCACTGGCATTTTCGCGTGCATCTATACCCGTACGTAGTAGAAGGATCCTTCAAACTGGTGGCCTAGTAACGTACACTTTTCTTAGCGAGCGTCATGAGGCCTTGAGAGGCCCAGCGGCGTCGGCGGCAGCTTGAAAATAAATAGTAGATATAGCACGTTATTTAAAATATACTTCTACTCATGTGCACAACTTGCTATATAAATTAAGTACTATACTATGCACGTGCACTTGTGTCCGTAGCAAAATAATGGTGTGCCTAGCAATACTCATACTAATTAATAGCTAAAAGTCGTGGAAACAATTACTGATCTAGGTACTTAGTCTGCCATGTCACAAGGGTAGGCAGCTCATGCTTGATACTGCGTGGCACTGTATACTGGCGCACTGTTGAATACTCTGGCCAATTACAACTTATCGAAAGCATCAATACTTAGGTACTGGTAACACTGCCGACTGAATATAGCTCATTTGAGTGCCCTGCGATGATACACTTCCTTGACAATGCCCATGCTTGATCCATAGCCACTGCTTGGGGCCCAGCTCTGGCACTGCTCGGCGGAAAGCAACCAAGAAACTGCATCCAAGTTTGGCCAACCTCTCCCCTTTGCAGTCAACTGCCTAATCCTCGTCTTGAGACACGTGACATCTTGCAGAGAGAGTCTCAGAGAACTTTCTGAAGTCGAGTGTGCCGCCACCGCTGCCCCACCATGCCGTAATTGCCCCACGTCTCATGCCTACGGGCACTTGAAATCCGTGAAAGAAGCTTGTTTGACAACCTGCTGCTATTATTTGACCAGTCTGAGCATTCGACATGAAGCAAAGGTTCTCTTCCCTCGATGTTAAGGTATTACTCTCCAGATCCTACCGCGAATGTCTTCCTTGGTCTCGCTAACAACCCCTTCACTTGCCATAGGTCGTTGCTCATGAACTTAGCCAGAGCTTGACCTCACTTCGAGTCGCCAATATTTACGATCTGTCGACGAGGATATTTCTTTTCAAATTCGCGAAACCAGGGACAAAAAAGCAGCTGCTCATAGACATCGGGTTTCGTTGCCACACGACGGAATTCGTTCGCACGACAGCAGGAACACCATCTGCGTTTGTTTGTCGACTGCGCAAGGCCCTCAAAACACGACGCCTTACTTCGGTTTCCCAAATAGGAACTGACCGCATCCTTGAATTTCAGTTCAGTGATGGGCAATACAGGCTTTTCCTCGAGTTTTTTGCGGTAAGAACCCGCAGACTAGTGGTGAGAGCTATTCAGTTGCTGACTGAACATGTATAGAGCGGAAACGCAATTCTCACCGACGTTGACCTTAGAATATTGGCACTGTATAGAAATGTGTCTGAAGGCGAAGGTCAGGAGTCTCAGAAGGTCGGACTGCTATATTCCCTCAAGAGTAGACAAAATTTCTTCGGAATACCAGATCTTTCGCAAGACAGAGTCCGTACTGCACTAGCAGCGGCCATCGAAAAGGTATCAACTACAAAAGCTGCCAGTTCAAATCGGACCCCGAAACAAGGAGACACACTCCGAAAATGCTTAGCTGTGTCGATTACAGAATTGCCTCCGATCTTACTTGATCACACACTACAGTCAAACCACTTTGACAGTTCCCTCGAACTGAAGGCAATCTTGAACGATGCTAGTCTTCTTAGCAGTCTGACCGAGAATCTGCGCGAAGCAAGAGAGTTTCTTGATTCCATTACATCACATTCACGCTGTACCGGCTTCATATTCGCGAAGAAGCCGGTGCAGGATCAGAGCCTGCAGGAACAGGACGGAGGCAGCAAGGCGAAACTACGCTTGCTTTACGACGATTTTCATCCATTCGTACCGACAAAATTCGAAAAGAACGATGACATCGAGATTCTCCGGTTTGAGGGATACAACCGCACAGTCGATGAATTTTTCTCGTCCCTGGAAGGCCAAAGACTAGAAAGTCGCCTGATGGAAAGAGAAGCAGCTGCTCAAAGAAAGATCGATGCGGCGAGGCAAGACCAAGAAAATAGAATCAGGGGACTGCAAACTGCACAACTTGATAATTTTCGAAAAGCAGCTGCGATCGAGGCGAACATTGAGCGAGTCCAGGAGGCCATGGATTCCATCAATGGTCTCTTAAATCAAGGAATGGACTGGGTGGACATCGGAAAGCTTGTTGCACGAGAGCAAAAGAAAAACAATCCTGTCGCGACTTTGATATGCCTGCCCTTGAACCTCGTTGATAATGTCATTTCTGTCCGCCTAAGTGAAGAGGATGATGTTGCAAGCGAGGATGAAGAACCTTACGAAACAGACGACAGTGATGTCAGATTTGAGGACGATCTGGACACGACTGAAAGTGGACTGAAGAACTCGGATAAAACGATTGTTGTTGAGTTGACCCTGAATCTTAGTCCTTGGAGCAATGCACGAGGATACTACGACCAACGAAAAAACGCTGTCGTAAAAGAAGAGAAGACTCAACTTCAGGCGGACAAAGCTATCAAGAGCACCGAGCATAAGGTCAAACAAGACTTGAAGAAAGTTTTGAAGCAAGAGAAGGCGCTACTGCAGCCTATCCGAAATCCCATGTGGTTCGAGAAGTTCTATTGGTTCATCTCTTCTGACGGCTACCTTGTTCTTGGTGCCAAGGACAAATCACAGGCAGAATTGTTATATCGACAACATTTGCGTAGCGGCGATGCCTTCTGCCATGCCGACGCGAGCAACGCTGCGATTGTTGTCGTAAAAAATAATTCGAAAACGGCAGATGTACCAATTGCACCCGCTACCCTTGCTCAGGCTGGACAGCTGAGTATCTGCTCGTCCGAAGCATGGGATTCCAAAGCGGGCATCGGCGCTTGGTGGGTTAATTCAAATCAAGTATCGAAGTCAACTTCTACAGGGGACATACTACAACCAGGCAACTTCAATATCAGTGGAGAGAAAAACTTTTTGCCGCCGGGACAACTCGTGCTCGGTCTCAGTGTCCTATTTAAAATCAGCGAAGAGAGCAAAATTCATCACAACAAGCATCGCATCCCAGACGAGCCCGCCGTCAGCGATGCCCCTAGAAAAGAAACTTACCCAAACTCCGAACAAGAGGCAACTACCAATGATATTCAACCAGCCGCTTCTACTGCGAATGGTAGTAACGAGTCTGATAAAGAAGATGAAGTCGATCATGAAGATGATGAAGAGCAGTCCACGAGGTCCAATCCTTTGCGGGCGGGAGATATTCAGCTGGATTCGCCTGACCTTGATACGCATGACGGAGATGGCTATCAACCAGCATCCAATCCGGCTGCTTTGGATGCTCATGAGGAGAGCGACGCAGACGTTGACGGGCCAAATGCTAACCAATCGGATGACGATATGATCGAACACTCCACAGACAGAAACAGTCTTGTCAGATTTTCAGCGAGGGAAAGTGCAATATCTGAGCCTAATAAGCTCAAGAGAGGCCAAAGAGGAAAAGCCAAGAAGATCGCTGCCAAGTACAGAGATCAGGATGAGGAGGACCGTGCTGCTGCTGAGGCGCTGACTGGTTCTACTGCAGGCAAACATAAAGCTGAAGCAGAAGTGCAGGCAAAACTGAAGCGCGAGCACGACATGGAGCAGGCAAAAGCGAGACGCCATGCCCGGCACGAGAGGAGACAGAAAGAAGTAGCTGAACATGAAGAGAAGAGACGTGCGATTTACGACGGCTTGGATCCTGAAGGAGACGAGGCGGAGGAACAGTGGGCACCAATCGATTTACTCGTTGGCACACCGCGTCCTGGCGACGAAATTTTAGAGGCTGTAACAGTCTGTGCTCCTTGGGCTGCCCTCAGCCGATCTAAATACAAGTTCAAGCTGCAGCCTGGCACTGTCAAGAAGGGTAAAGCAGTGAAGGAGCTGCTGGAGCGTTGGAGAGCAGACGCGGGCAGGAAAAGCGCTTTGGATGAGAAGAGCACGGACACTGAAAAGATGTGGCCAAGAGAGGTAGAGCTTATCAAACTTTTGAAGCCAGAGGAAATTATCAACGCTGTCCCTGCCGGTCGAGTTCGCCTAGTTATTGTTGGCGCAAACTCTGGCTCTGGCAAGGCGGGACGTGGCTCCGGGGGTAAAACATATGCAAGAGGTAGCAAAAAGGGTAAATAAGTAATACTTGCTAATTCCATCGATAGAAGAAAACCTCGTTATTTACTCAAGTCATCATTTACACATGAAACAGAACCAAGTTACATGCTCGACCATGGGCAGCAGAACACGTTATCGACCACTGCCGCCAACTCTTTCGATGCGCCGAACATGGTTGGGCATTCGCGCGATGCACAGTTCCGCACAAAATATGCCCCATTCCCCGCTGGTTGCATCACGGACGACATCCTGAAGCTCGCGGTCGTATCTCTCGCTATAAGCCTTCTTCACAGCTTGCATGTGCACAGGATCCCAGTGGTATCTAACAAGTCGAGAAACGAGCAGCTCGCGGCGTAGATTGTCCTTGCGCGACGCTGTAAGTGCATGATGTAGCAGCAAGGCATCTCGCACGGGGCGGTTGATGATTCCATTCAATATATGAGCGAGGAGTTCGCCCTTGTAAAGTTAGCTCTGCTATATTACTTGTACGAGTGAATGACACTGGGAGCACTTACCACAAGATTTCCGCTCTTCTTGAGCGCCTCGCGCGCAAAGTTACCTCTATAGTGGCGCTCGTATTCCTTCAGGACTGCTCTTAAATGAGTATCACTCCGCTGTAAAACGATGGCAATCATTGAAGATTCGCCACCTTTCTCGGCTTTGACTGCTTTTCTTAAATCGTCAATATCCCGGTCGATCAGATCGTAATCTAACGGAAGTGTACGGCCGTAGTGGTCGAAATCTTCCATCCGTCGCTCTTCCAGGACTGTTAGTACTGCTTTCTTGAACTTGTCTTCTTTTAGCTCGGTTTTCAGGCATTTCGCAAGGCTGTTGTCGTATTTCTTGTCAGTAAATGCATCCTTAATATGGCGAATCTCGTCATTTGTGCGTCCCATAAGTGTTTCAATGAGTAGCTCGCGACGCGTCTTGTCTCCTTGGTACCAGAAATTGGCCCAGTAGGCTTCACTTTCCCACATTCCGAGAGCCACAGAGTAGCAAGCCTTCATCAGCATGGGATCTTCGTCTTTGAGTCGTGCTCGAATATGCTTCGCGATATTCACACCCTTGCGCTCAGAACCTGTCTTGACGATGCGCTTGTACTCCGCCCGCAGCTCCATGACTTGATCGTGCGACAAGCTTGGTAGGATCTCAATGAGAGGCTCAGTATGAGGCGGTCTATCGCCTTTCAAGGCGCGCGCCAGGCGTGAGGCAATATCTTCTGGGTCATGGAAACGAGCTCTGCGGTTGCGCTTTCTGCCGTCTCCTTCGACATCAGAGTTGAGTGGGGAAAGCGCGTCGATGGTTCGGGGGGGTTCAGTACTGAAGGCTGCTTGCGACGCAAGAAGCAGCGGCGACGGCATGGGGGAACAGTCCTGGTATGTGCCATGATATAACTCAAGAAGAGGGGAGCCTGGAGCCGCAGCCAGCGACAAGTTGGAAGGGCGGTTCGTGTCAACTGTGAGAGAGGACATCCTGCCTGTGGGTGGCAAAGGCGAGGATTCGCGGTTGGATGACCGCCGGTCTCGGGATCTCTCGCGGGATCTATCACAAGACTTATCACGCCCATGCTGGTCGGGCCTGGCCGTTAATAGAGCCGGACCTCGTGAGGTATCTCGTCTGGCATCCTGCGAGCGGTCTCTTGTGCGTCGGGTTGGTTCCGCAGTCAGAGTGTTCGATTTGGAGGAGCTCCTCGGGTCGTTGAAGTACTCTCGATAAGAATCACCTTTTGACTTTCTAGACGACCGTTCATCTCTCTCGGGGCTGTGAGTGCGTCTTCTGTCATCACGATAATCGTTCTTGTGGTTGGAACTGCGCTTGTCTCTATCAGCTGATTTTGGAATGTAGCTCCCGTATGTCGGCGGGGTGCTCGTCTGGGGTTCAAATGGAGGTGGACCCCCATAAATCAGGGCTTCGTCTTCGGAATCGGATCGCGGGTGCCTGGTTCTTCTTCTGCTGTCGCCTTCTTCGTCGTAAGCCTGGCTGTACTTTTGCGGTAGGTACTTCAATCGATCATCGCTGACGTCAATCGTATCTTGCCTGTCGCGCTTGAAATCAGAGCGTTGACTTTCTCGCTTGTCTTTATAGTCATAGTCATCATATTTGCTATATTTTGACTCCCGAGCATCTTTGCGACCCTTGTAACGATCCTTTCTCACGACTCGGCGAGTTTGATCATCATTATCATCGGGGACAGACCCGGGAAGGGGCCTTGAATTTGGAGACTCGGGCCTATGGTATTCATCTCTATGAGAAAAGCGCTTCTCATCGAAACGGTAGAATGATTGAATTCCGCGCATGGTCGGCTCAAGGCTGCTTTCAGAGGGATACGGTGGACGCCGATCATCTTCAAGCTGTGAGTATTTGCCGTCGTTTTTGTCGACATAGCCATCGTCAAGGTAACCATAGCTTGATTCTCGCACGTCTGAGTATGTTTTCGTCATTTCCGAATCATCTCTTGATCGTCGGTCACGCGACCTTGATCTAGACTTGTCGCGGCGTCGTTCGCCTTGCACTGTCAGGGACATTGTTGCCGCGAGTGGCGATGCGGTGTTTGGTGACAGCGAAGATTTCAAGACGAGTATGCTCCTCGCATCCGTGACGTTATCCGAGTAAGCAGCTCAGCAAGATAGAATCCGATTCGGCACAATTGCTAGAGGGTGCGTTCTTTTTGCGCTTCCTGGCGACATAGGAAACGCGAGCCCGTCGTTGCAGCCGCACCGGAAAGTGGATGGCTGGTTACCTTACCTAGGTAGCTTAGGAATGCTCCCTCCCTCCGCTTGCCTTCACTATTTAGCCGCTAGAACCTGTGTTTTTCGGGCGTTGCACTGGCATAGGTAGGTACAACTTTTGGAACCCCACTGTAGGTACCTAGGTACCTAGACAACTAGGTAGGTATTAGCTTGCTGAGGTTAGAATCCTGTCTGATGAGCAAGAGCTTGTAAATAGTGTTGCTGATTTTGAATTCCTGGTCTATAATACATCTCTGGCATTTCCAACGAACAATATCGAAGGCTGTCTGTCAATTCTTTTCCTGTGCTGCGCCGAAATCACCCCTACACGTGCCCGCACCCGTCGCTTCGCTTAGGTGCTGCAGGGCTAGGTGGCCACCATAGCCTCGTAGACATATACCAAATACTACTAAAAAATAAGAAAATAATAATAATTATATTAAATCTACTAATTTAGTAAAAAAACCAAAAAATATATAATTAAATTTCTTAAAAAATTAGTTTATAAAAGTAAAAAAATAAAAAAATATTATAAATTATTTAAAAAAATAAAAAAACTATATTTTTAAAATAAAAAAGTACTTTATATTTTTTTAAATCTAATAAAAACTTTAAAAATAAAAAAAACTAAATATATTATTATATATATTATTTTATTATATATACTATTTTTTATTTAATTTTATTATTTATATATTATTTTTAAATGTTTTTTATTAATTTTAAGAATCTAAATTTATAATAATACTTTATAAAATCTAATAATATTTTCTAAAATCTAAGTTTTTACCTTTTAATTAGTAAAATAGCTAAAATATCTAATACTACTTAAAATATAATTTTTATATTTTAGTAGCTTTTATATTTAAGAAAATTATTTATAACTATGTGACTATGGTGGCCGCCTAGCCTTGCAGCACCTAAGCGAAGCGACGGGTGCGGGCACGTGCAGGCGTTCGTTGTCGTCATGCGGGCCAGGGGTTATGCTGTTATGATCAAAGGTAGATTTATATGACCTTAACTTCTACCGGCTAGATCCTTTTTCAATTTTCCAGCGCGTTCACCTCTCTGAAAAACAAACATCGCCTCGTCTTTGCCGCCAAAGCTCGGAAGTGCTATCTGTACAACTCTGGTCCAGTGTGGCTGTTCTTTCTTCATATATTCAGCCATGGTCATGTTCATGAATCCAGTATAGCCATTTTTGTTCTGTGTGCCGACCACAGCTATAGTGTCACCGTCATATGCATTGACCAAGTCCTTTGTAAAGGCGCCTTGTATGCCATCTTGTATGCCGCCTCCAACGATGGGGTAGACAAGTAGAAGGACCATGTGCTTGCCATGTTCATGTCGCTTGAGCCACTTGACACCATCCGAAATCACTGTATCGCCAACCCAAGAGACTCGCCACGCACTTTGCATGTTGTCTACTGGGTGTACTTTGAGACCATACGCTCTCAGCATAAAACTCCAGTAGCCGTTTCCGGAGCCCATGTCGGCGACATCACGGCCATCTGCTAGGATCCTTAACACCTCCAAGCTCTCGTGTGAGGGCGTAGCGCAGCCAAAATGATGCATGAAAATCGGCAGCACATGATGGCTTGTGGCGACTCTTTCGGAAGATGCACACGGGCCACACCACTCAAGTGCGCGACAAGACCATTCCCAGAATTGGAAGTACGGGTTGTAAATCGGCGAAGATTTGACTTTTGGTATGGTTAATTTTGGTTCCAGGGCCGCATGTATATATCTTTTGTCGGTGAGACAGTTGGCACAATCTGCGCGAATAGAGTTCTTCTTGGCGTTCGTTTTGAAGTTCTTCAATGCAGAAAGTGTCACGGTTTTAGGACTAAAGATAGATATATAAGCATCGATATCCGGTCGCAACGGCGGATCTCTCTTTTAGAACGCGGGAAGTCAGCGATGGACGCCTCTTGTTTTCTTTGGCAGCGTGCGGCGTGAGGGACCTACGGGCGTCCCATCAATCATTCGATACCAATTATGCAGCCCGTTGACACCCCCGAGGCGTACAACGTGTTGAACTTGAGCAAGGCTCACACTTGCGGTTGCATGGTATACGTAATCGTCATTATTCGGGAGCTTGAATAACACTCGACTAGCACCCAGAAGGTCGTTATCCTCCAGAAGCTCGGCGATTTGAACATGCAGAGCATAGTCACCGGATACGAGTGAGGGCTCAAACCCGGCCGAGCCGGCACAATATTGCTTCTTCGCTCCATGAGCCATTTCGAGCCAAGCTGTGTCACACGTTTGTGGTGAAGTAAACAAGCGGGCTCCAGAAAACCCCGTCTGCGTGAACTGGCGCAACTGGCGGTCCAATCTCAGCGGGGTCGCCTGCTCACCTTACCCAACTAAAATTACCCAATCAACCTGGTACCTACCACCCTAACTTACTTAGCATGCAGCGGGTGCCCTGCATCCGACATGACGACGTTGATACCTTATGCAGTATTACGATACCCTTTGTTGCCGAACTTCTGATTTCCATTGGTAGCTATTCGTTTTGTTTTCACTTTCGTGCGACCCTCTGTATGAAAGTTGCCTTGCAAGGTCTGCAGAATGTGTGCTGGCCAAGAGTTCGGTGTGAACCTGCCATCCGAAAGTATTCGGCACGCTTCAGATGCACAACAAATGGGAATATCAGACTCGACAGCAGTGGAACTTGACATCTGTGAGTAGATCTAGCCTACCTCAAGTATCCAAGTAAATCACACACACAAAGCCAGAGCCAAGTGCGCACGTAACACGGCGCCTGTTCCAAGATTCATCTTCCACCAGGCAGCCAACAGTGTCTCACGTCTTCAGCGGACTGCATTTAGAGTGCGCCAGGAACCTACTCAAGTATCGATTTGCTTACCAGATCAGCCAGGCTGCAGTGTCATGACGCACATAGAGCGGAGTAATCAATTGATCAGATAGATAAATCGAGAGAAAATGAATAATAGAAGATGGCTTAAATATACCTACGGATACCGAACCTGGGTACATTGTTACATTGACGGAGAGTCAGGCGTACTTTGGCCCACTGGTAGGTAGGTACCTCTCGGCATAACTTTTACCTCGCTACCTAGGTAGGTACATTACCTATTTACCTTACCTTATTTACCTGCCTAAATATTAATCAGGCACATGCTGAAGCAGCACCTTGTCCGAACACACAATCTGACAAGCAACCACCAGCCTTTCCACCTATTCCCAGCGACCGGCCCCCTCGCTTCTACTGAGGTCGCACACCCGCCAACGGCACAGCAGAGCATTGGACACGTGCTGTACTCCAAGAGGGTTGACATGGTCACTGCATCTCCTCATCGCGCAACGATTTCTTGCCAGCTCTGTCCACCATCCCGAGTGCCAGGCATTTCCAAGCTTCGGAACAACTGACCCCCGAAAACAAGCACAACGAAGAAGGCGATGTGCCCCCCATGCGCACCTGAATAGCCTTGAGAATCCATATCAACCTTCACCGTGACGAGGCCGACACCCACGCACTGTCGAGCGTGTGGTCTCAAACATACCCAAGCCACGAATGAACGGTATCGCCGGGGAAAATGATGCCAATTGACGAGCCGCAATCGCCCAGCACATCGATGCCGATACCAACGAACATCCACGAGGAAAAGAGTAAAGCCGAAAGCCATCAAGTGACCACCCCTGGCACCATCACTCTACCCCACGAGCTCGAGCCCTCTACCGAGGATTCTTTGGTAACCACACACAGTACCAATACAAAGATTGCGCGAAGCATAGACGAAGGCGCACAAGGAATACGGTACGGCAGTGCCACAAATACCGAAAACATCAGTGTCACCAATGCATTCAGCGATCCCGACGCTGTATGTGCCTGTCCACACAACTACATGGAAAGCCCAGAGCTTGGCGATACTCAAGTACACTCTCAAGTCCTGATCAAAGGCAATTCCTTAGACTTGAACCAGTATGCAGCACCCACCGCCGATAGGGCTGCTGCTGCAGACACCTTGTCTGAGACGGGACGCTCGCAAGCTAGCGGCAGACCAGAATCTCTGCTCGTTTCACCTTTGACGCACCCAAATGGTGTGGACATGTTCCCGTCACTTTCCGCGACAGAGCAAGAACAAATGTCATGGGAGGCTTTCACTCAGGCGGAGGAATCGATTGTTGCGGAAGACGAATCGCATGGATTTCGGGACGATGCTTCGGACGGAGGATATGCAAGCGAAGGGTTTAGCTCTGGCAGTACTTCTGCAGAATCTTCGGTCAGAGACTACATGTATGAGAACGGCCGCCGTTACCATCGCTTTCGCGAAGGGGCCTATAATTTCCCCAATGATGATGTGGAACAGGAGAGGGAAGACATGAAACACGCAATGGTGAAGCTGCTCTGCGGCCAGAAGCTGTTCTTTGCACCGATTGGTGATAACCCACAACAAATCCTGGATATAGGTACCGGAACAGGCATTTGGGTAATTGAAAGTGAGTCATCCAATATCTCGAGAGAGATAGTGCCAGCTGACCTTGTTTGCCTTTCCCAGTGGGCGATCAATTTCCCAGCGCCAGTGTTCTTGGTATAGACCTTTCTCCAATTCAACCTGACTGGTTACCGCCCAATGTTCGGTTTATCGTTGACGATGCCGAGTCTCCCTGGCTTTACCCTCGTAACCATTTTGATTACATTCACTCTAGACACACCGTCATGGCCTTGAAAGATTGGATGCGACTCTTCCGCCGAGCACTAGAGTAAGTGTTTCACCCCGAGCCAAATGGAACCTTGATGCTGATCCACTGGTCCCAGGCATCTAAAACCAGGTGGCTGGATTGAACTGCAGGAAATTCACCATTCGCCTCGAAGTGCAAATCTCGATGCGGTTCTATCTGAAAATCATGAAGTTGCTCAGTTTTGGTCTCACGTAAGTGAAGGACTGGGAAACCTGGGTGTAGATCTCAACATCTCTTCAGGCGGCCAATTGACCAAGATGCTGCAAGAAGCTGGCTACGTGAATGTCACTGAGCGAGTTTTTCATGTACCAATCGGCACGTGGCCCAAAAACAAGGTGCTCAAAACTGTCGGACTATATTGGCGCACGATTCTCCTGGACGGTTTGCAGGCCATTGCGCTTGGACCAATGGTACGTGGACTAAATTGGAATCGCGAAGAGGTGGAAGTCTTCCTCACCGGCGTTAGAAGAGCTTACCAGGACAACGCCGCGCTCATGTATATGCCTCTTCACATCATTTATGCCCAGAAACCAGAGAACATGGAGTGATTATCACCAAAAGCATATAACGGGAGGCTAGCCAAGAGCTGATCCGCGTCGAAGCTATAGGCAAAAGTGCAAAATTGTGAAATACATGGATCAGGCTGTATATCTATCTCAGAGTCGAAACTCGGTGTTGATGGGAGCTTGTGCACATGGTTTGAAAGCGTTCATGATGTGGAGAATCGATATGTTGACTGGCTACGAAAGATCATATTGCCGTGTTATGGCTGAATACGACATTTCGATATTCGACCATTTCTTCTATTAGCACAGTCGTGGGCTCAGTATCGCTATATGCACCAGGCGCTAAGCTTTGATAGAAAGTGCGAACGCAAGGACAGACTTCCCAGTCCCTTGCGACCGATCTCATAGCCTGCTGGCAGAGGGCCAGAGAGGTACATACAAACAGGGGAGAAGCATCCCGGATCGTTATCATATTATTCCTTTGACTGCCGAAAGGGAGCTCTGAGGTCACGATACCCATACACACCACAGATACAAAAATAGTACTTCATCAACAAAGCGTCTTTCTTCATCACTAATTATTTATATATCATCCCTTATTAAAGACTTGGCTTTAAGTAAAAAGGAACCTTACTCTAATATATACCTCTATCTTTACTTAATAGAGGTGCCGTAGGCTACCTACTATAGTAGACTCTAATGTGTATAATGCTGTAGCTATCTAGTTCCTTAAGATACTACTGGTACTTCTAATCTGGTTAGGTTAACTACGGTAAATAAGTACTCTGTGTCTACTCGCATTCTATCGGTTAAAACCCCTGCGAGTGACCTCAGAGCTCCCTCTCGGCAGTCAAAGGGATACTTTTTACCTGGTAGCTTACACGCCTACTAGCAAGCAGCGGGGTCTATTCTGAGAGGTGTAGAAAAATGCGCTGCTCCACCCGCACCAGAAATGAAATACCGTAGTGCGTAGCCATCAGTGGGAGTCCTCGAGTAGGTACACGTGCCGCGCACCCACCTCTCCACAGGGAGGGTGCTGTATAGCTAGACGGCCTATATACCTTCTAGCCTAGTTTTTTAAACTATAATATAAAATCTAACTTATATGTTAATATTTTTCTTTTAGTATTATAAAATTCTTTATTAGGTCTTTTATTATAATATAAAGAGTTTTTTTTAAAATAATATTTTTATTAAGTTAATATTAAAATATAAAAATATAATAGTTTTTTAAGACTTATATATCTAATATAAATTTATATTTAATATAAAATATATCCTTAAATTTAAAAAAAAAGATAAGTTAACTTTTAATACTTATATAAATTTTACTAAAAAAGGTATTATTAATTATAAAAAAACCTAATTATTATTTATAATATATTTTAAAATATATAATATAATAAAAATCTTTTTAAGTAAATAAATATAAATTATTATTTAATATATTATTTAATATTTTATTATTAGATATTAAACTTATAATAATTTAAAAAGACTTAAATTTTTATAAAGTTATATTTAATTCTAATAAAATACAATTTTTTAAAACTTTTAATAAAGATTTAAAAAATATTATAATAGAATTATTATATAAAAGAACTAAATAATAGTATTTAAAATAGCTTTAATATCTTATTTAAAAGAAGGTGGCTAGAAGGTATGTAGGCCGCCTAGCTATTAGCACCCTCCTTGGAGAGGTGGGTGCGTGGCACGTGTACATACTTACCAACTTGTGGTGGCAAGTGGGTGAGCGGTGAATGCACGGAATGTACTGCGACCACTTTTATTCGTCTGCAGCGGCTGAGCCAAAGAGCCTACAGGTTGACTGAGGCGAGGAATAAAGCAAGACATTACCAGTGTATAATGCAGCAGGGTTCAAAATCTACCAATCACAAATGGGCAGCCACGGTCCAATCGCGAAACAGCCCACGCCATTGGGACAGGAAGTGCCGGGGTGCCGCCCTTGCATGCACGCCGGCGCGGGGGTTACAAGTTCTGGACAAGACTGACCTGTCGTAATTGACCCATGTGGCTTTTGTTAGATTTTAAGCTGCATGGAGCCGCCCTGCTCGGGTTTCGATGAGACCTTGGAGAGTCACAACTCCCGGCCGAGCTAGACTACAACATACAGACGAGGCTACCTTGGGCGACTTCAAGAGCCCAGCTTCGCACTGTCACAGAACCGGTGCCCACCGGCTTCTTTGAGCAGGACCAGCTCGGCAGGGTTTTCATTGCTCCGCCCAGCAGGGTTGCAGCGCATTGTCACGGTGGGGATATTTTTTATAATTTAGGGGCGCGCGTGGGAGGCATTGCGAGCTCGCGGCGACACGGCCAGCGAGGAGCGAGCTCATATTTATTTACCCTCTTGTTGACTCTTCTACACAGAGATTAATTATCACTCAAGTTGAATTAATATTTGCGCCAGAGTCACTATAGCATAGCTGCCAATATTTATCTGAGCATGCTTGTATCAGTACGTATTGATGTCCCGCTGCCTCGGGTGCAAGTGGTGGCGCCACCTTGGTGTGCAGCTCCTGAACCGCTTTGCCTACTTACCTACCTACTACCTGCGTGCTGCTACCACGCACCCACCATACCGCGTAAAATATAACATGCCGCAGAAGGAGGGTGTACTTTATGCTTTCCCCATACTCTACTAGGTCGCAGATGCGATACGCTCTTCCATCTTGTTGCCTTGCATCGGCACAGCCTTCACTGGATACGTGCCTTTCGGGTTTGACTGCCCTTCAATACATCTGAACAAGCACATTCGAAGCTCTTTATCATTCTCTTTCACTTTACTCACACGGCCGGCAAACCTGTCGCAATCCCTGCTTAGACATTCAGCTGCCTGCACGCACTGGCAGTTGCAAAATGTAGGTAAATGTCGTTCCACGGCCCATAAAGTCAACGACCCTACCCATCTGAGCTATATACGCTTTACCTTTTACCAGACCCCGCCCTACTTCTGCACGACGTCTGAGTTGTCTTCCTGATGCAGGTCGGGCCGCACCGCAATTCCTCAGTGGCTTCACGAAGCACGCTGAGGACGCACATACTCGAAGCAGCAACTACAAAGTACTTGCGAGGCATCAATGCTATGCGGACTGTTACCCAGTGCACTGTTTTATCGCTAGCGAGAACCCACACGCTATCCCCGTTTGTATCTCGACATAGACAATCACATTGACAACCATGCCTTTTACTTTGGCTGCTGGGCGCTCCTGCGCCTTTAACTCGCTATGCGCCGACGTTGCCATGCTGAGGGCCGCGGGCACTGATCAATCTCTGTCACTTAAACTTCTCGTCCAATTTAAGCTGTCTTCACCTTACGTTGCAATTACATTGACGTCCTCGCCTCGGCTGCTAACCTCGGTCAGAACCATAATTCCGACATTTCAAAGGAGACACTTTACCACTGTATCCGCCGAAAATGGGAAAGTTCAAGTCTTGGATTCAGGGCTCAAGTGCTGGACCATCTCGGTCAGCTGCGACGGAGGAGAAGAAGCTCAATCGGCGATCTTTTTCTGGAATCGCACAACTCAAGTCAAAACGGGAGACCGAGAGTCGGGTAGGCGCCAAAGAGCAAGACCTCGAGAGCAGAGTTTCAACTCAAATGAAGCCAGATATGTCAGCCGATTCTCGCATGATTAGTCTTGCAAAAATTATCAGTGCAGAATCCAATAAGCTTGAAAGCTACTGCAGAAGCCATGGTATCCCAACTCCGTCGTTTGACGCAGATGCCCCCAAAGATTTTCCAAAGCTCCCAGACGATATTCAAAAGAGCCGCCATGAGATTATTTTCGCTGCGAGCGAGCTTTCAGGTCTCGTTCGTGGCCCGCGCGAGAGCGTGAGATGGGGCGTCTGGGGCGTGAGTTGATCAATACTGGATGGTTCACGCGACTGATACTGACACTAAAGCACAGTTCTTGGACTCATTGACTCTTCAAATTATTAATCATTATGGTATCGGTCAGTCCTATGTGCGTCGATTAAAGAAAATGTCTATAGTCTAATTGCTTGCCAGCCACTCTTGTTCCTACTTCGGGCACTATCTCCTTTGCCGAACTACAATCCAAGACGTCATTGGACGCGATAAATCTTGCTCGAGTTTTGCGCCACGCAATGACAAGTCATATATTTTGCGAGCCAAAGCCAGGAGCCATTGCACATACTGCATTGTCTCGCTGCCTCGCCGAAGATGATGCCCTGCAGAATTGGATTGGCTTCAACTCGGAAGACATCTTCCCAGCAGCAGCCAACGTAGTGAAGTCTCTTGAGGCACATCCCGAAGCAACGTCTTTGACAACAACTGGTTTCAATTTTGCATTCAACACTGTCGGAATGGAACCCATGTTTGTCACTTTCGGGAAGAATCCGAAAGCCGCAAAAAGAATGGGCGCCGCTATGGCCAGCCTGACTGGAGGAGAAGGATATGAGGTCAGGTATTTCGTCGACAATTACGATCTTTCAGATGTTGATAAAAACAGCGGGACTCTTGTCGATATTGGTGGTAGTCATGGCTTTGTTTGCGTGGACCTTGCGAAGAAGTGGAAGAACATGAAGTTCATCGTCCAAGATCTACCGAAAACAGTTGAGAGCGCCCCAAGCCCAATTTCAGAAGATGATTCTGTCGCCAGCAGAATAACGCTTCAAGCCCATGATTTTTTCAAAGAGCAACCCATTAAAGGAGCGGACGGTGAGCCAAAACTCGATTCATTTTATCTTGCTCTAGTTGACTGACCTCCTTCGTGTAAAAAGTGTATTTTTTCCGCTGGATCATTCATAACTACTCAACGCCATATGCAACTGGCATTCTCAAGAATCTCGTGCCGTCCTTGAAGCCTGGCGCGCGAATTGTGATCAACGATCACTGCCTACGACAGCCTGGCATGGAAAATCCTTGGGATGAGAAGCTGATGAGAGGCATGGACATGATCATGCTTACTCTGCTGAACGCTCAGGAACGTGACGAGAATGAATTCAAGGCATTATTCGCTGCGGCGGATCCACGCTTCAAATTCCAGGTGAGCCTAGTATCCGGAAACTTTCCTAGGGATATGCAAATACGGGGCTGACTAGAAATATTCAGGGCGTCACCAGGGTACAAGGCTGCCGCATGAGTGTTATTGAGGCTCTATGGGACCCAGAACAGGACCCTGCACCTTGGAGCCATCTGAGCGGGGATGAAAAAGACGAGAGTTACTAGATCATACAATGTTAACAAGGTTCAATAGAGTAGATATTTTCTTGAGATTGATCCCTTTTTCCAAGTAAATTCGAAATCCAGCGTTGTCCGAGCTCTATGCCTTTGAACTCTGATGTAGGTGCTTTCTTTTTCCAAGGCCATAAGGTATAACAAGTCTATTAGTAATGAATAATGAGCAACCTCCCAGCGAAGTAGTTTTTCAGCGTGATTGGTTTAGTGGTAAAATTCTCCGTTGCCATCCGCAACGTTCGGGGAGCCCTGGGTTCGATTCCCAGATCACGCACTTTTGCTACTTGTTTCAATAAATTCGCTGCTCTCCTTGCCAGCCCCGAATGCGGTTCTCTTTTTGCACCATTGTCTCGAAAATTGTATGGTGACAGATCAAATTTTACTATCGGAAACTAGCTATTCCCTAGGGCCTGTTGCACGAAGCCCGGATTTCCATTTCTGAACAATCAACTTGGACAAGTCGAAGACTGTCAACTCGCTCAATATCTCGAAGACAGAGATATCTACCCCACAATTTCCGAACACCCAATTCCGAACACCGACCGCGACGAGGGAATCGACTCCGTAGGCACTTGGAGGCCGAGATGGGTCGATCTCCTCAGTGGCCATGTTCATTGACTTAGCGAGCATGCCGGCAAGACCACTGCACACGATGTTGGTGGCGGTTTCAGCATCCGTACAGCCCATCAATCTAGCTTTGATGCTTAGGCTGACTGGCATTGTAGGAGCACTCAAGTCTGGCTCCGGCATATCGACTATGTTGAGAAATGAATACATTGCTGTGCGGGACCAGTACGGGTCTGCCGGCTGATTCTGTAACATTAGTCCGCCGGTGCCGACACCGAGAACAATCTGAGGCGGCAATGGCTTGCCACGAATCTGCTCTCCGATTATTGCATGCTTGATTATGGTCAGGAAATCATCATGGCGAATGCCATAGAAGCCGCTGGCTCGCAGAGCATCGAGAATGACTTCATCGTCTGCCAGCATGCCGGCGCCAAGTATAGGCCCCAAATCGAGAGACACAGCTCTCTTTCCATGCATACTAAGGTTCTTAGCTAGAGCGTCAAGGAACGCATTACCAGCGGCATAGTTCGCCTGTCCGCGGGTACCAATGACACCTGCAGAGCTTGACAAAAATATGTAGAATGGAGTCTGGCCGGTTGTTTTCACTGCTTCAACTAGATTGTAGGCGCCCAGAGCTTTCGGCTTGAAGCCAGAATTCCAGCTTGCATATGTCATGTTATCGAACACGGCATCCTTGATAACAGCTGCGCAGTGAAACACGCCAGCAATTGGCGGCATGACGGTGGAGACGGTGCCTACCAGAAGATCTTGAAGGTCGACTTGGTTGCAAATGTCAATAGCAAAGGCCTTGACCGTCACTCCTCTGTCAGAAAGTCCTCTAAGAAAATGCGTGGCACTCGAGGAAGAAGCCCCAGATCTGCTCAGGAATGCAATATTCTTTGCCCCGTTGTCTGCCAGGAGCTCCGCGATGCTTCTTCCAAGGCCTCCCAGTCCGCCAACTAAGACGTAAGTGGCATCCGCATATATGCAGTTTTCCAATGGATTTGGGAGACTTTGTTGCAAAACCTGAACGAGGCTTGCGTGTTCTTGAGTCGAGCCCGCGATGACGGACACAGAACCGAGATATGGCGATTCACTGACGGCTCTCAAGGCATCATGCAACTGAGATACATCAAATAGCTGCTTGACAGTCGAATCCGCCATCCATTCCAAAGAGGTATTCGCAGTGAGCTTGTTCGCTGAGTGTATCATCTCTATCGCAGGAAACAGATCCTCGCTGAGCAACGTGGCTAGATCAAAGCGCACTATGGTCACGGGAAAGCTCGGAGTGCTGACGGAGGAAGAATGCTCTGCAGAGTTGGCAAAATGCACAATTGTACCACCTAGGTTTGTTAGTTTACACTCGAGGCTTCTGCTGAATTTCCAACTCACATCGGCGAACGCATGCGACCAAAAGGTGCATATCGTTATGCGTAGGATTGTAAACGAGATCGACTCCTCGATCTTTCGTCAGGAGCCTGACAAGAGATGGATAACTATGATAGTTGCCATCCAAGATGTGATCGTGCTCAATCCCACGTTTCTGCAGAATATTCCTTTGCCTGTCTGTGTCCGGACCCATGACTGTAGCGAATACGGTGGCTCCAGACAACAGAGCCAGTTCTACGGCAGCAAGGCCAAACCCACTTGCGCCGGCATGGATCAGTACTTTCATGCCTTGAGTCAATCTGCCGGTGACGAAAAGCGCATAGTATGCGGACAGGAAGTGACTGGGTACGAATCCAGGCCTGTGGTCTATTACCAACGCAGCATCGGCATGAACTGTTGTGCGTAGCCCGTTGCCTCCAGGAACCAAACAGACCACCTTGTCGCCTATCTGATAATGGCTTATATCGCTTCCTGTAGCAGATACATAGCCTGTCACATCGTAGCTTTGCCATTCGCAAACTCCTCTCCCCTCTGATCCTTCGTTGCGAGCATGTAGAATGGTGGACTCGAATGAAATGGCAACCTCTTGACAATTGAGCTCACCCAGCTCAGATTGTTTGAAATGAGAAGGTGAAGCAAGCCTTGATAATGGGATATCGGAGTGAAGTAGTGACTCCAGCACTTGGCGTCCGGTCTTGCTGTCCTCTGTTCGGAAGATCTTCTCCACCACATTTTTGGAGCTATCGCCGTTTTCGATGATTTTATTCATATCACCCAGAGTTTGTAATCTAGGTATAAACAGCGCTCCGTCTTTCTCCGCAAAGTCCACGTCGCGAGGCTTGTCACTGAGAGCTGGGTCTGTTACTCTGCGACAGACGGTGACAAGCATGCCCATGATTTTCGGTTGAGAAAGTGATGAGTCCTGGCTCAAGTCAAACGTAGCAAATATCTTTTGTGAGTCTTCAGACATGAGCGTTCTTGCAAGGCCGATGATAGGTGAGACGCGAGGAGCGGTTGGTGTCATGTTAGCTCCTCTTGTGATCCAAACAATTGTTTTTGCGCTGCTCTGTAGCGAGTGAAAGGCCGTGAAATCTGCTTCGCTCCAATTGAAGATAAATCCTTCGTTAGCTGTCTCCGGAACATAGTCAAGTAGCGAAATATAGAGGGCTTCGCTTGGAATGGGGCCATCGCATGCTGCATCTTGAAGTTGTAGACCTGAGAGACTAGTCGCTGGATAGTTGACTGCAAGATATTGCCGAAATTGAGCCTCAAAGAGAGAGACCTGTTCGGAAATCTCATTAGGAAGCAGAAGAACAATATGACGAGGCATATACTGCTCTGTATCCTCAGCGAATACTTGGCGCATAGTCCATGGCATGCTCTCGTCCTCCTCGGCGGAAAGGGCCGCAGTCCCGGTGCGCTCACACCACTCGACTTGCAGGTCTGCCAGGTTCCAGCCTAGATCAAACCCGGAAATACATTTCCCTTCCTTTGACTGCTCAGAGATGCTGCCAACTGCACCTAATTGAAGCATCACCCCGCCGGGCCGGAGGAAGCGCTTGGCTTGTTCAACTTCATCATCGCTCTGCCCTTCAATCAACACGAGATCATATTGGGATTGTATTGAAGAGAGATCTGGCAGCTGTTCGATGTAGCTACTGAATGGAGCTAGCTTGACCTCGTTGAAGCGCAGGCTGGGCTGCTTTTGATTGACATAAGAATACTTCGCGAGCCGCAGTAGCCGGCCAGGATTTTCCGAAGCTGCTAGCAAAGTGCATTTAGCGAAGGAAATTGCGCCTCCAATCTGGAGTATGGAAAGATCGGAGTGTTTGTGGCAAAGGAGCGAGATCGCATGTTTGAAGGACCTGAATTGAGTGGTGTCGGGGTATTCCCGCCAAACAATCTCTGTGGTGAGATTTCGATAGCTGGGAAGAAAAGAAGATTCAGATGACAAATTGAAAAGCTCTCCGCTGAAATGGAGCCCATTGATGATGACCAGATCCAACGGCCGATCCGTGCAGCTCATCGTAATCTGCGCCTCGGCTTCATCGAACTGCGTTGGTTTGGCAATAGCATGGCCGAGAAACTCTCTGCTATCACTCAAATCCAAGGTATCGGATACAAATATACTCTGAATCAGGTAAGGGATCCTAGGTACAGGATCCAGAGCAAAGAGTGTCTGAAACATTGAATCCAATGTCGCGGGATGAAGCAGATGTGGGTGCTCAAAGTTGGCCGGCATCTTTGATTTCGTGTCTGGGACACGGATCTTGCTTACACAACAGTTTGCCCCTTTTTTAACTTCCATGATATTACGAAACATTGGACCGTAAGTGATACCAACAGTGTCCAAATGCTCATATAATTGTCTCGGGTTGACCGAGGTGGTGCAATCAGCGCTGACTTCATCTTGTTTATTGCTGAAAGCCGCAAATAGAGCGTTCATATTCTGTGATTGAGTACAGAAGTGCAAACTTCCAGTTGCATGCTTCTCCCAATCTTTTTCCAACGCTTTCGAATAAATAGAGAAGGTGAAATGGCCGTTTGGAAAACGGCCATCTTCTCCGTCGGTTTCAGCTCTCATGTTCAGCGCTACTTCGACACCATGTGTACTGTCTGGCACAATAATGGCTTTTTGGAAGCGCATATCGCGTATCTCGTAGCCGATGAGATCTTTGAAGCTTCTCTTCAACTGTCTAGCTCCCTCTAAGACCATGGAAATCATACCAGCGGCGGGGTAGATGAACGTCTTTTGAACTTGATGATCTTGGATCCAAGGATTCTCGGAAATCCTGAGGAAGCCGCGCCACCGAGGTTCAAAAGACACAGAATCGGCAGTTGGTGCTCCAATAAGGTCTAAGCGACCATATTCTCGAAATCTGTTTGCCAGACTGAGGTGAGATTCGTGCCAGTATGACTTGGTGTGATTCCATGGATATGACGGTAAATTAGAGAGGCACTTGAGCTGTGGATGGGGGACCCGACGAGAAATAGCGCTTTTGAGGCTGACTGGATAGTTAGCGGCCCATAGTTCTCCAACAAGATTGAGAATAGAAGCCATTCCCTGACGAGACTTTTCTAGTGCGCTGAAGAATTGCTCAGGTTTTGAGCGGGCCGCAAGCGTATCCAGAACCAGTGTTCGCAGAACAGTCGAAGGGCCCATCTCAATGAAAATAGATGGATGTTCGTCATCTGGAATAGCCATAAGAGACTCCATGGCTGATGAGAATTGTACAGGAGATACCATATTCTTCCCCCAGTAGCTGGCGTCGAGACTCGAACCTTGAATCTCGCCACCAGAAACGGATGAGAACATTCGTACGACCTTTCGACCAGCCGAGGGGTAGACGGAGCTGATATTATGGACATAGTTTTCTTCCACCTTTTTCATATAGGTCGAGTGGTAAGCCATGTCAACTGAAAGGATGCGATGACGGATGTTTTGCGCCGTGAGATCACGGGATGCATGCTCAATCATGGCCCGCTTTCCGGACAGCGTGATCGAGTTCGGGCTGTTGATGCAAGCGATTTCGAGAGGCTCAGGGAGTGTACCGATATAGGATATAGCTTGGTTCAGATTCATGGCAACCGCAATCATACCACCTTGAAATCCAGGTAGCTCACTATGCAATATGGATGCCGCAAGGCCACGATAATAAGCCACTTCCCATGCTTCTTCACGAGAAATGGCACCGCACGCAAAGGCAGCCGCAATTTCACCAGACGAATGTCCGACCACGAAAGATGGCTCTATTCCCAATGATTGCAGCAAATCAACGATGGCAATTTGGATTGCTGTAGTTGCTGGCTGAGAGATGTGCGCGCTTGACAGAGCAGAGTCCGCAGCATCTTTGCAAAGTTCCTCAATCAAATTGAATGGAGATGCCAAAATCGTCTTCAGGTACCAGCTGGCAGAGTTGATGCTATTCCAAAAGACCGGAAAACATCTCAGATCCAAGCCCATGCGAGCCCACTGTGATCCTTGGCCGCAGAAAAGGAAACAAAGCCTTGGAGATGAATGCTTGGAAGAACGAGTTGCTGTGTACTCGGCCCGGTTCATCTGCTCAGCCAAGTTCGAAACTGAATTGGAGACAAAAAACGCTTTCCACTCAAATTGTGACCGACGGCATCCCATTGTGTAAGCATAGCTTGACAAACAGTCATTCGTAACAGTCGTCGAGTTGCTAAGCATCGATGCATGCTGAGACACCAATCTTTGGATTCCAGAGCGCTCGTTGGAAGACAAACAGAAAATTTGCCAGTTGACTGGATCCGTGCCCTCGTGCTCTGGGTGAGAAGATCCATTCCCCAAGGACAAGGACGAGCCATTGACTTTACGACTCGTCGAGTTGTGACGTGCAGAATACTGCCGCGCCGCCAAATACTCGGCGGCCCCATCCATAATCACCTAGAGAAATTTCTGGTTATCATTGATACACATATTTAGAGAAGTGACACATACATGCGCGTTGGTTCCCCCAAAACCGAAGCAATTGACGCTCACTCGCTTCTTCAGACTAGACGGCCAGGGCTGCGCAACGCGCGACACCTAAAAAACTGTGTCAGCTGTAAGTAGCAGCAAGGATTTACAACATTCATTACCTGAACCTTCCATTCCTCAAAATCGATGTCAGGATTTGGAGTCTCGAAATTGATATGTGGGGGGAACTGCTCCCGCTCCAGCATTAGCACGGCCTTGATTAAGCCAGCAACACCGGCGGCTCCTTCGAGATGTCCAATATTGGGCTTGATGGACCCCACGAATATCGGATTTTCTGGAGTGCGAGCTGCTCCAAGCGTTTCGGAGATGGCCTTTAACTCGCGCCAGTCGCCTGCTTGTGTGCCAGTCCCATGGCATTCGACGTAAGCCGTATCGGAGAAGGAAAGGCCAGCAGCCTTGTAAACGGCTTTGATATTCAAAACTTGGGCCTCTTTACTGGGAAGAGTAATGCCTACACCATGATTAGTATACAAGTCTGCGCATACGATGTTATGCAGGCTCACCGGTAGTTCGCCCGTCTTGATTCACCCGAGTCCCGCGAATCACAGCCCGGATGGGGTCATTGTCTCTGATAGCATCAGACATGCGTTTCAAGATTACTACACCAACACCTTCGCCTCGACCATAGCCATTTGCCCGAGCGTCGAATGTAAAGCACTTGCCATCTGGGCTGAGGAAGTTTAGTGCTGTCATCGGCATGATCGTATTTGGTGTCAGAATCATTCCAGCCCCGGCAGCAATGGCCTAAAAGATTAGCGGAATGAGTGCATGAGGAAGGGTAGAACTTACCAAAGATGTTTCACCGGAACGTAGACTTTGCGCCGCTAAATGAATAGACACGAGACTGCCGCTGCAGCCTGTGTCAAGCGTCATGCTTGGACCATGAAGATTGAAGTAATAAGAGATGCGGTTTGCCATGATGGCAATGCCATTCCCCGTTGCGGCATATTTTGGCTGCCAATCTGGATCACGCAAGCAAATTTGCTCATAATCTGGACCGATGTTAGAACCTGATAGCGGAAGCATTGGCAAAAGACTCGTACCCTTGACAAAAGAGCCGACATAAACAGCGGTATCGGTACCGTCGATATCGTCTTTAGTACATCCGGCTGAACGAGCAAGATGACTTGATTAGCAAACGTGTCAGAAAAAGAACAAGCCATTTGTACCATTTTCAAGAGCTTCGTAGCAGACTTCCAGAAGCAAGCGTTGCTGAGGATCAACCGCGTTTGCCTCGGCGGCGGTAATAGCGAAGAACTGGAATGTCCGAGTCAGCCAAGGAAAGACCCTGAAAGAAGACTTGGCCTACTGGAGCATCGAACTCTGCGACATTTCCCTTGAGGAAATGACCCCCTTTGAAGGAAATCTGACAGTCTGTTAGCGCAGCCCGCCGAAAGGAAGAGCCAGCCCACTTACAGATCCTTCGCGATCACCGCTGGGGTGGTAATAACCATTGATGTTTAGTCTGTCCCGGGGGATTTCCGACCACTGAGACTCTCCGCGTTCGAGTGTTTCCCATAATGCTTCCGGGGATGATGCGTCGCCAGGAAATCGAAGACCGAGACCTATAATTGCAATATCGTCCATTTTCAAGGGTGTGAGGCCACAGCACGGAACCAAAGATCAAGTGACAAGTGAAGAGAGGCAGCCGAAAGTTCGAAACTAAATGATTTGAAACGAACCTTCTTTTTTTCACCCTTCTACTTGCGGATTTTCATTCACTTATAACTCGCTCGAATACCCAACAAAGAAAGCGCCCGCTAGCAGCTCTCAGTCACGCAAACAATGGTAGCGCCCGCAAGCAATTCTTGAGCACTCCGTGGGATTTGTTGTCTGCAAAGGTGAAGATGTTTGTTGTTGCTTTGGCGGAGGCGTATGTTTGTAGCCAAGAGTTGTCGGCGGCTGCTTGATAATGAAACTGCAGAAAACAGAGGTGTAGCTAGACCTAGACCGGGGCTCATGCAAGAGTGCATGCATGAGAAAGCTGTTGATTGGACGGCTACTCGGAATTTTTGGCAAGTTCACAAAAGATCCGTCAGCTATGCATTAATTGCTTGTTTGGGAGTCGCAAAGTTACAGGATCCAATAGAGGCTTGCTACAGACGGGCGTTTTGCAGGGTACCTCGACAGGTGTTAAATACTACTCCTCTGACGGGGTTGTAAGAAGATCCAAGGAAACTAACAACGAACCGGCTAGACTAGACACGACTAAATGAGTGCTCAATCAAGTGCAGGAGAGTGTGATAATGGCGAAGAGTGCGGGCGTCGTAGGTAAGGAGATGTACGAAGGGACAAATCGAATACTGTCGGTAATTTTGGTCGTATAGCGTGATTGGTACACCAAAAGAAATGAACACGTCATGGCAAAGTGTTGATCGATTTATACCGAGATTTTGGATCGAATCACGGGCGCGCCCGGTGTATGTTGCAGTTGGCGCAGAACAACCTCACGGCATTGACCCTCGCAACATTCCCCTTAGATGGTAAATCTTAACCTGGAGTTTGGGTCCTTCTGACCCACGAAGATTTAGGTAAATTCCAATGTAACTGAGTAGCAAACAAAACAAAAAATGGAGATTTGCCCACTTCCTGAGGCCTGCAACTTGAAACTTGTCAAATGACCAGCGACTTTGACTACACTGATCGAAGCACGGTCTGAGAGCTGGAGCAACACGGGACGGACGATGTGCGGATGGAATGTGATCGAGAGTGGATTTCCGATGAGCCGGCTCCGTGTTCTGTGGCTAGTGCCGGCTACAGCTTACATGGCGCAGTGGACAGACAAGCAGGTTTCGGAGCACAAAAGCGTCAAGCGCGACTCTTGATATTACGTCAAACCCATCTTATTAATGTGGTTTCAGAAGGTTTATTTCGCTCTTGTAAGTGTTGCGTGCGAGACAAGGCCGATGCTGAGGAAGCAGGAGGCCAGTAGGGAGGCTCAAGGCTGTGACCATTCGTACGGCGTACAACATTTCATTGCAAACATTTTCGTGGCAACGAATGACACTTCTTATTCGTCAAATCATAAAAAAAAAATGCAAACATGTTGTGAGACAGAGACCACAGAATAAAGCAGGGTCCAATGAGGAAAAGACATAGTACCGCACGTACGGGTAGGTGCATTTCGAGTTTCCCAATGGGTACGCTCTACCCAGAAAGACCAACTTGTTACCTTGAGTGCAACATCAGCTACATCGTTTTAGATCGAGGATCTAGTCAGACAAGGCTTTCCGCAAGCGACCTATTCACCTTGCCATGGCAGCTGTACTACCCGGCAGTAAATAAGCGATGGGAACATTGCACATGCTCCATGAATGTGAGCCGTGAGCGGAACAATGGTTGCGCTATACTTGAAACCGTAAAACCTTGCGAACAGGGCATAATATTCACAAAACGGCTACTTGTTGCCCGTGGAGTCATACGCACGTTCTGAGTGCGCCGCTGTAAGAGTCGCCTTGTATTCGACATTATACTACAATGATTGGAGTGATTGCCTTGAGGTGACGAAGAAGTTGTTCCGTCGAACAAAGGCGAATGTAGGATGTGGCTGCTGACCCAGACTCGCCTGCAGAGCGAGTGTTGCAGCTTAGCCCACCATGCGACACGGAGAGGACACGAAACGTGTAGGTTTTGAAAGGCTAGTATTGGTACAACAGATGAAAGCCCAGTGCGCCCGACAAGACTTACTCGAGTGGTTGAAATGGAGCTGGACTGGGAGCATATCTTCTGGCAAAATCTCACCGGACTGTTGGCTGGCGCTCCTTCCTCATCAACGAGCAGCACCGATGTCCATGTCTTTGAGAGTATACCTCTACCGTCGTCTTGATAGTTGTATTGCCTACAGAAAAAAATTGCTTCTTCTTTGTCAACCGCATCACTAAGGCCATTCCGTTTGCTGCGGGCCTTGCTTGCACACGCGTTAACATGCCAAACGCGATAGACAATGCCTTCCGGCTTTCGTTGACGTACCCGAACCCCTCTCTATGCCAAAACAATAACACAATAGAGGATGGAAGACGAAGCGATGAGCACCCCTTGACAAAGCCAGAAGAAACCGTCGTCGCAAAGAACACCACTGGTCGGCTTAGCCAGGGCGTCCTGGTTACATGGTATGTCGCAACGTCTTGAGAGGTGGATGGGGCTAACCTATAGTCAATAGTCTCCTTTCAGGCCTTTTGTTCTCTAGTCTGGATACTTCGATTGCTGCTACTTCATTAGTCGCCATCTCGCGTGAACTACAAGATTTCGGAAATGCACCATGGATCGTGCTGGCGTATCTCTTGACTTATATGGGTAAGTGGGAATAAAGCGCAACATATCTCTCAGAGATAAACTTCTGACCGTCTTTCAAGGGTTTGCTATTGTAATTTCCAAGTTGAGCGACATATACGGCCGGAGAAATATGCTCGTGCTGTCGTGGGTGCTCTTCACAGCATTTTCTCTTGGGTGCGCCTCCAGCAGGAGTATGGTAGCCTTGTATGCGCGGACGACCAACAATACATCATTAAAAATTACTGACATGTACTTAGAATAATATGCCGCGGATTTCAAGGCATTGGCGCCTCCGGGCTTTACAGCCTGACACAGATCGGCTTGGTCGAGGTTGGCCCGTCGCATAGGCCGAGTTTGATTGGAGCCATGATTGGAGCTACTTTGACTATCGCGTTTGTATTAGGACCAATAATCGGTGGCGTCATAGTTCAATTTTCAGACTGGCGGTGGCTCTTCAATATGAAGTAAGTTGTAATGTCGCTCAACTTCAAAACAACGCTGACAAACACCAGTATCCCCTTCGGATTGATTGCGATGCTCGCCATTACAAATTTCTGGCCACCTGAAAGCGCTGCTAGTATGTTGTCTTGGAAAGCTTTTACAAAAATTGATTTCATTGGCAGCATCACACTGCTATGCAGCTCCGGCCTCCTGGTATTTGCAATTCAGCAAGCTGGATCGCAAACTTATGCCTGGAATAGCCCAGAGATTATCATCGCAATTACAATCTCGGTGTTATGTTGGCTGTTATTCATTGCGTGGCAGATTCTATTGGAATCTAAGACGTTCAGTGAAATTGAACCAATATTCCCCATTAGACTGATGCAGAGGCGAGTATATGCCGCCGGGTTGCTGTAAGTTACCCACAGCCTCTCGGGTATAAAGTCTAAATAACTGACGGCCCCTGGCACTCTAGCGTTACTGTGCTGACCGGATTTCCATATATATCCTTGGCAATCACTATCCCAGAGAAACTTCAAATCGTTGATCGGCAATCAGTCCTGATGGCTAGCGTTCACCTCCTACCCATGCTTGGGGCATGTGCAACAGGTTCTTTCCTGGGCGGCGCTATCTCGAGCAAGAAAAATAATACTGCCTATACTATTGTTGCAGCGGCGTGCCTTCAGCTTTTTGGTGTGACGCTCATGTCAATTATTCCGTCCACAATTCGAGCCACGCAGTACGTCTTTCAAATTGCATTTGGACTGGGTGTTGGCCTTTGCTTTTCAGCAGCAACTATCATGACGAACTTGATAGCCCCCGAGCAGAGAATTAGAGCAGCTGCCCAGGGAGCTGTGGCCCAAGCTAGGGTGCTTGGCGGCTGCGTTGGAATATCGGTTTGTACCGTGGTATTCAACGCTCATGTGAATGGATCATTGCGGTCACAGCTTTCACCGGAACAGCTGGCACAAATTCACAGGTCGCCAATTTCAGGCCTACAATTTCCTACGGACAAGCAAGAATATGTGAGGTCCGCTTATTCTGGTGCATTTACAGAAGAGACAAGAGTTATGATCGTCAATTGCGCAGTCATGGTAGCAGCCTCACTCTTCACCCTCGAGAGACATCCGCCATCACTGGAAATTTTGACATCGTTGCCAAAAAAGCAACAATCGTCCAACAGAAACGGCGATTCGACAACAGAGCTTGATAAAATTACGAGAATGCGGCAGACTGCTTAAGCTAAGTCGAACCTAGCTAACTGGCGATGGTTGGCGTTGTCAAGAAGAGGAACAAGGCCCAAGAAAAAGCGTCGGAAAACATGCGACAACAGAGACAGCAGTCTGTACAGAGGTCGAGGAGGTCGAAAGGACAGAAGTCTTCAAAATAGTTGTATTCGTCCCCCAAATTGATACCATGGCTCATAAGCTGTTTATTGCGAGATGCCACTGGTCATGGTGGGCTTGAAAAAGACGCTTACCACACCCTCTATCGTGAGACTTTTGGCGACTCCCTTGAGCTTCTTGTGGGCGGGGCACTCCTCATCGTAGTATTTCATATCATCAACGCTGGCGAACTCAGTCTTGGCAACTAAGGTGAAACCTTGAGCGCGAGGGTCGGCCTCGGGCTTGCCGATAACAACCGATTGCAAGTATGGCCTTCCGTCCTGAACACAATTTTCGTCGTCAGCATGTTTGCCATGACTGCAAAGACAGATCCATATGTTTCCCTCACGAACCTTGGACTGGGTGGCCTCGAGAATTTTATACTGCTCAATCATTGCGTCGACATCCTCCGGTTTGGGCAGTTTGAACATGGTAACTCGGTGAACATGGTCGGCCATTATGTCGTTGGTGGGCTGGTTACAGTCAAAGTGTAGATGTGTATTGGCGATCAACGCAGGATGAGAGCTCTTTGCCAGTTTATTTATAAAACAAAAAAACCAACCTGATTGCAGGTTCAGTGGTCGCAGGTGAGTGTAGCCTCGGAAGCGTGATTGCCGGAGGCAAGCGCTGCTTGCTTGCCACGACGGCTTGAGTCGGATGCCATTGGAGGGGCACCCGGCCACATTCCGACGTTTCCGCCTACCCCGCCTCCACGGTTCCATTCAAGAGGAACTGGTGGTGCAGGACCGCGATAGCGGCACCTGTGAGGTAATCGCAATGAAGCCTTCTTCTGAGCTAGAATGCCGTCCGTCCGAACAGTAATCAATCAAATGTCGTGCTGCCGTCTCATCGTAAAAAGATGCGCAATGTGTGTTACAGCCAGGAAGGAGATGGCCAGGTGCGGGTGGCTTCAAAGGAATCAGAACTGGACGCTGGAACAAAATTCCCGAGTTCTACGGAAAACCAATAGCGGAACTGGGCTGGCTGGTCGGGAGTCGGAAGCCAAGAGCGTTCGAGGCGAGATCTGTGAGCCTGGCGGGGCGGGACCAGTTCTCCGCCAGTCCAAGGATCATCATTTTTGGAGCTTGCATCGTCTTCGTATTCCCTCGCTATCAGAATCAAGCTCTCTTTTATTTTCTTCTGACTTCAATTCTTATCAACTCAAACATTTCTCTACTCCCTGTAATTTCAACGCCATGTTTTGCAGCGGACGATGCTATTCTCTGCCCTTTGGCCAGTGGCAGGTCGTTGACCATGAAGCTGCTTCAGACCGCGGGACCACCTAGTATTTCTGTCCTCTGCATAGGGTATATCATGCAATACTGTTCAAATATCCAGCCGCACAACCCTTTTGTGGCGAATGCGCCGTCGTCTTCTACCACAAGTCCCCTGTGGCGGTCTAGCAGCGTTCGGAGGACACACGTGCTCGCATGACAAATGATAGTGGTGTTCTGGAGGAGGCTATCAAGGACCTGGCAAATCTACTTGCTGAGCATGGGAACCGGAGTCGAGTTTCTCCCGCAAACGCCTCTCCAGATATCTCTCAAGAGAGCGATCAAGCGGCCGGCCCCCAAGAAAGCAGTCCAAGTAACCCTCTGTTCCCACAAGAGCTCAACGACGATATCTTAGAAGAAGTGCCGTGGACGGATCCAACCTTCACCTCAATCGATGGAATATTGATGGAAAGTAGATCGAGCTCGGGCCTTCGATTATGTCGTTTCAGAACATTTCAGGGTGCTGTGGCGCTACAGCCCTGCATCTCCCTTCAGCGTGAGCTCAACTTGTTCGACGCTCTCGAGGAGTGCGAGGCAAATGGTCACCGCATATACAAAGATGCGAGGCTCTGGGCTTGCGCCGTACAAGGTCTTTCGGGTCTACCTATGCCATGCAGATGGCTGGCAGCTACGATTTTCAATTTTGCCAGTGACATGCTGCGACCGGATAATACACAAGACTTCATGTGGACAATGCGAGCATGGCTTCTCCACTGGTACGATTTTGCTACAGAGTTGTTCAGGAAGCTTGAAATTGGTCTAAGCGTCCCAGAGATAGACTGGTTCCAACCACCCACCTGGAATGGAATTACCTTTCTACTAGGCGAAGAAGAATCCCACGAGGATTCCAGAAGCTCCGATGGAACGGTCGTGCACCACATCTTATCGCCGGAAGCCACAGATTTCATTCATGGGTCCATTCTCCATCCCATCACCCAGAGCCCTTTTCTGACACGGGATGGAATCCATGTAACAACAGAAACAGCGCGAATTTAGAGTCGTGATGCCGCATACAATATTTGCACAGCAAGAGGGAAATTTCGAGACACTGAGCCATGTTCTGCAGGAAGAAAAGATGGGTATTTTCCAATTACGCAGATTAGATGATGATAGTATTTGTTACTGCACTCGGCCTAGCGATACAAGTAGCGAGCAAGTTAGCGGTATTGATCAAAATCATATTGATGACGTCGTTGCACGTGCTATAATTTCCTGTCAGTCACAGGATGCGACATGATTGAAACGAATTGGTGGTCTTAGCCACAATGAGGCCTGAACAATGTGACACGGAAAGCATCAACTCAATTTGCGGAAAACAAACATATATAAATGCCCCAGACAAGCCCAGCCAGCGCGCCGACCAAGTTCCGTCCCTGCACAGACCTGACCAGTGTAAAGTTGACGAGCGAAACAACCGGCCAAAGCTTGTAGCCCGCCGCGACTAGGGGCCAAAATTCCTCCTTGGCCTCTGCCCACACGACCTGAAAGTCGACGAGGGAGAAGTCGACAGCGCCCGGGCTGACCCAGTAGCTGACGGCCTTATATACGTTGGTAACGCGCGGCGCATGAGCGCTTGCCATGCGGAGGGATCGCGTAAAGGTGCTGAACAGCAGCGTGTTGACGGCGGCGCCGACGGTTTGGTCCAGGAGGAACTTGATGGCTGTGTTGCGCTTGGACAAAGCCGGTGGCGCGGGCTTGTCGTCTGTCTTCTTGGAACGAGCCGCAGGCTTCGGATGCGAGGGGAAAGAGGCTTCGATCAATTCTTGCCTGCCGTTACAGTAAACGCCACATTAGCTCCTAAGCGCGAATCTGTGCAGGACAAGAGGCACTTGACGGATAAACATACCATAAAAAGTTGGGCGGCGTGCTAATCACGTTGAAGAGCAAGTATTGAAACACCGGGATCCAATCGATCGAGAATGGCTCCTGTGAAGCTGTTAGACGACCAAGAACAAAAAGATCTGACCAAGCTTCTGTTCTCTGCAACGGCCTGTATTACCTCTTGCCTATAGGCCGTGATGCACTGCGCCAGGATGCTGCAGAGGACGCCGAGACCGGCCGATTGTATAGTCGCTGCCACAATTGGAGAAGGCATAGCGCTACTATAGTCCGGGTCAAAGTTTATTTCTGAAGTAGATCCAGGAAGGACGAGGGAAAGAGTCGACAAGAATTTCTCATGGGTGAGGCAAAATAGGGAGATGAAGGGTCTAGAAACATGTAGTAGGTAGCTTAGACATGGACCATACTTCGTACTTATGGCCAGCGCTGCATGTGGGGCCTGTCTGTCATTGCTTTCCATCAGCATGTTGGCTTTTCTGCGGCGATATACGTGTCAATATGTAATCGAACGATTTTGCAATGGAATGAAGCATTCGTAATTCAGCAACTTCGGTACTTCTTGCCCCAATGCCGCCATGTCAAGGCAGAGCCGTAGCATTCACGCATGAATCTAGCGAGCAAAACTTGGAGTGTGTCGCGTTTTCATCATTACATTTCGCTTACATATTATTCTAGATTCGGGTTCAGGTAAACAGTCAGCCCGAATCGCTGTAGTGTACTGAACTGTTCGCACCATCTGGTATGCATATCCTATATGCTTTCCCTACTCCCTCGTCGTTGCTAGTTAAGTGTAGCTGTATCGAACCTTCGAGGCATGAGCCTATAAGTCTTAGCTATGAGTTCAGTCGCCTACCCTTAGCTTAAAACTCTTTGCTGTGAGCTACCCATCGGCACTAGTCTTTGAAGCATCTTGTCCTTCATGCTCGCGTCAATACCCACATAAAGAAGAACTGCACGATATATGAGTAAAAGAAGAGGAACTGAGTTCGCTGGTTGCGCTTCGCCCTTGAGTCGGTTTGCATAGGCCCACCGTTGCTGCCGGCACTCTCAGGAAGCAGAACATATTTCAGAGATCGCATCTGCAGTCGTATTAGTGATGACTTCTCAACCCAGGGCATGTGTTACCCACGAGGAAAAGAGAGTTGGCAAGAAAGGTGTAGAGGAAAATGCTCCAGCCGACCCAACCGCCAGTGCCCTTGCCGCCGTTGACAATTTCCGCAACGGCAATAGTGGCAATGATGCCAACAAACTTGTAGCCGGAGTAGGCGATCAAATCGAAAAGCTGAGACTGGCTGGAGATGCTCAGAAGGTAGCATCCGAGCTTCAGTGCGATAATTTCGACGATGACGACGACCAGTCCTTTTGTTGCAGTGTAACCGAGAAGCTCGGGTTGGAAATCGCCTCGTAGTCCGGCAATGAGAGTTGAGAGGAGGATGAAGGTCACAATGGCCATGACTAGAACTCAATCAACATATGCTCGGAGAGGAGGACAGTGCGGACAACACCAACCTGGAATATACATGTCGGGGCTATTGATGTCTTCCCGTGGGGGTAAGTACCAGCCCTCTTGGCCATTGGTTGCCGTGGCCTGCTTTCGGGCCCATGGCTTGTGTCGCCAGGGAAAGAGCACGAGGAAGAGTTTATTGATGACGTAGGAGTTAGAGACGTTGAAGTAATGCTTGAGAGCCGAGACATTGACATAGCGACCGATCTGAAGAGCTAATTAGCCGTCGAGGGACAGGGAATATAGGGCAGACGAGGGCGGACGTTTTGCTCGACATATTCTTGGCCGTGCTTGAAAGCCGTCTGGCCGAACTGGGCGGCAACCTGGGCGGTGGGATCATTCATGAACTGGCCATAGGCGCCGAAAACGTTGCCCGTGCCGCCGCCCTGTTGCTGATAGGGATTGCCGCCATAGCCTTGTTGCGACTGCGCGGAACCCGGAGGAGGGGGAGGCGATCTGAGTTGGGGGACCGTCGATACGTGCTGCGGCACAGGGTGATGCAGGGGAGGCGACTGCCCATAGTTGGCTCTCTGCATGGTAAGAATGAGTTGCCTGCAGCATGCGGTTGGAGTTGGCGGAACGGAATGAGAGACGAGAAACGGATGCGATTGTGGCCAAAGGCGGGCGCGCAGGACATGTGGTTGAGCTGGCCACTTTGGCGAAATGGCAGGAAGCTGTGCTTCCTAACGAAGCTAGGTACCTATACCTTAGCCTGGCGGGCAGTTTATGCACTCCGGGTGCTCGCACTGAGGTACCTACCTTCCTACACGTGCCACGCACCCACCTCTCGAAGGAGGGTGCTGCACAACCATGCGGCCCACATACCTTACAGCCCACCTCCTTTTAAGTAAGATATTAAATCTATCTTAAATATTATTATTTAGTTTTTATATATAATAATTCTTTTATAATATTCTCTAAATTCTTATTAAAAATCTTTAAAAATAATACTTTTTTAGAATTAAATATAACTTTATAAAAATTTAAGACTTTTTTAATTATTATAAATTTAATTCTTAATAATAAAATATTAAAAAAAAATATTTTATAGTAACTTATATATCTTTACTTAAAAACTTTTACTTTTATTATATTATATATTTTAGAATATATTAAAAATAATAATTACTTTTTTCTTCTTTTTTTATTAACTAAAAATACTTTTTTTAAAGATTTCTAGAAAAGTCTTAAGTATTAACTTAATCCTTTTAAAGTTAAGATATTAAGTTACTTTAAGAATTTAATTATATCTTATATATTAAATATAAATTTATATTAGATTTATAAACTATAAAAAACTAGTATATTTTTATATTTTTATATTTATTTTATAAAAAATACTATTTTTAAAAGCTCTTAATAAAAATTTAAAAATTTTTATAAAAGAATTATTATATATATAGATTAAATAATAGTATTAAAGATAGATTTAATATTTTACTTAAAAGAAGGTGGGCCGGAAGGTATGTGGGCCGCCTAGCTATACAGCACCCTCCTTGGAGAGGTGGGTGCGTGGCACGTGTAGGTACCTAAGTAAGTATCGATCATGCACAACCAAGCAGCCCACCACAATCGTGGCGCTGGTAACTGACAAAATCTTACTGAAGTTTCTTGTCTGTTGAGAGCTTCTGTTCGCCACTCGACACGCCACTTGGCTAGCAATAATCAGCTCATGCCCGAAAATAGGTGGCTCGCAAGCAGTTGGGATACCTACCTAGGTACCTCGCATGCTACCTATCTTCCAGGTACTTGGCACGTGATACGGGCCAGACTTTCCCGGGAGGTACCACTTTCGGCTGCCAGAGCTCAACTCGTCCGTTATTAGCGAGCGAGTCGCAGCGCTGTGGCACATACGATCTACGACACAGTACCAAGCTTCCAGTACAGCCAGTCAAGCTTTTCTCCTGCTCTGGACATTGTGTACTGTCTCTTCGTCGCCGCTCCTTCTCCTGAATCCCTTGCCCTATCGTTTGCAATCTCTATCTCTCATTGCTTCACTCCCCTCCCCCGCCGGGTCAGCCGCAATGCTGGACACTTTCGAGATCATAACGACTTCAGGCGTGGTGCTTTGGTCCCGCACATATGCCCCTGTCAACCCCTCTGTGATTAACGACTTCATCGCCGATACCTTTATTGAGGAGAGACATTCTGGCAATGTTGTCCGAAGTGCTCAATCCGCCTCCGCTAATCCAGCCTACAAAACCGACCACCACACCTTCAAGTGGACCATGGTTAAGGAGCTCGGAGTTATCTTTGTTGTAAGTCGATGGTGTCAACTGGCTCGTCAGTCGCGAGGTATACTAATTTCGAGCTAGGTTGTATACCGATCCCTTCTTCACTTGAGCTGGGTTGACAAGCTTGTCGACAACATCCAAACCATCTTCGTCAGCCTCTACGGCGAACAGGTCAAGAAGCCGCACACAACCCTCGTCGAGTGTCACGGGTTTGACGAATACTTTGATCAACAACTTCGAGAACTCGACAGATCCAGTAGTAAAGATTACACAAAAACCACTGAAGATGTCGACAGCTCCCCCGATGGCAAGAGACTTTCTGCACCGGGCCTGACTTATAGAGGCCGCACTGTTTCCAATGGCGCCGATAAAGACGCAGCATCGCCCGATTCGACACCCACCGCGTCGCGACCAACGACGCCTGCAAGTAGCAATCTGGTCGTCGCCAAAGCTGGTCCCGTGGCTAAAATGTCTAGGCGTGCGCGCAAGGCTAAGCACAACACTGGGCCGGTCTCGTCTGGAGACGAGTCGACTCGCTCTAAAAAGGGTCCAAGCGGCAAAAAGGGTAGAAAATGGGATGCCGACGGTTTCGCAGATGAAGATGACGACGTGCAGCTCGACTACTCTGCGCAGGGTGGCGACGGCATCGGCAAGTCCAGTGCAGTTGAATCGGTCGACTCTTCCACTTGGGGCACATCCTCCAAGGGCAAGTTCGTGCTACGAGACCTGGGAGACGAGGTACAGGGCATACTCGCCACTGCAGAGGCGGAAAAGGCCGCTGCCTCGCGTGCAGCGTCGGCCAAGTCCGGTATTCTCGGCTCTGGCGTAAACGCAATCAGCGGAATTTTCCGCAACGTCGTTGGCGGCAAGACTCTGACATCTGATGATCTTGCGAAGGCCATGAAGGGCATGGAAGAACATCTACTACAGAAAAATGTAGCAAGAGAAGCTGCCGTGCGACTATGCGAAGGTGTGGAAAAAGAGCTACTGGGCACTAAGACTGGAACCTTTGAAGGCAAGAAAGATACCCAGCCTAACTAGCTCAAAACTGCACTAACAACGACTCAATAGGCATCAATGCCCGAATCCAGACAGCTATGGAGGCATCTCTCACCAAGATGCTTACACCGACATCATCTTTGGACCTTCTTCGCGATATTGACTCGATAACGTCACCGCCTGTTACATCTCTCCGCCAGCGTCGTCCCTATGTTATGTCGATCGTCGGCGTCAATGGCGTGGGTAAATCGACCAACCTGTCCAAGATTTGCTTTTTTCTTCTGCAAAACAAGTACAAGGTGCTTATTGCAGCTGGTGATACATTTCGTTCCGGCGCCGTTGAGCAACTCGCTGTGCACGTCCGCAATCTCAAAGAGTTGACGGTGCGGGAGGGCGGTCAGGTCGAGCTGTACCAAAAGGGCTATGGCAAGGATGCTGCCACGGTGGCCAAGGATGCCGTTGCCCATGCCGCGCAGGAGCGCTACGACGTGGTCCTTATTGACACGGCCGGCCGCCGGCACAACGACCAGCGTCTCATGTCGTCGCTCGAAAAGTTTGCCAAATTTGCCCAACCCGACAAGATCCTGATGGTTGGCGAGGCCCTCGTAGGCACCGACTCGGTCGCTCAGGCGCGCAACTTCAACGCTGCCTTTGGCGCCGTTCGCTCTCTCGACGGCTTCATCATCTCCAAGTGCGACACTGTCGGTGACATGGTCGGCACCCTCGTCAGCCTAGTACACGCAACCAACGTGCCTGTCCTCTTTGTTGGCGTCGGCCAGCACTACTCGGACCTGCGCAACTTTTCCGTGAAATGGGCTGTTGAGAAGCTTCTCAGCACCAACTAGAAACTTCACTTCAGAGTTTTGGACATGGATCAATGCGCGGGTGTACGTACATAAATAAATACCAATCGTGTACTTCTAAAATCAATCACACACCCTTGTCTCTGCGAAGCGATATTGCCCATGAAGTCTATTACTCTGAAATAAATGCAAACACTGCAGGCGCAAGGCCAAAACCCTAGTTCTGTCCGGTTGAAAACACCGCAGAAAAAAAAAGAATGTCAACGGTAAGCGATTCCATCCTCTCGGACAATACGCCAGCCGCGGCTCTCTCGCGCTATGCATGACTAATAAAGTAAGAGAAAAGGAGATAATAAAAAAGGTATAATGAATGTGAAGATGATGAGAAGAAGTGAAGAGAAATCAGTAGCAGCTGACAACAACAAAAAAAAAAAATACACCAATGATTCTAAGAACAGAAAAAAGGACTGCGCAAGGTATAAAAAATAATAGACAGTTCGCTGTTCTGGCGCTTCTCGCAACCGTGCTCTTCCGCTCTCTGCCACCGAGTGTATGTCAATCTGAGCGTGGGTGGTGTTTGTAGGACGGGCGTAACCAGAAGAGAACAAAAATGATGATAAAAGATAACATGTAATGAAGCCGCCAATAACAAATCCATAGGGGGGTATCTTTCTACGTCGCAATAATTTTTTTTTTCCGTGTCGGTATGAGCTTTGACAAAGTGTCCAACAATGGACCCTTGTGGCCAATCTCATCCGCGCAAGCGAATCTCACAACTCCCTTTTTCTTGTCTTGCCTGTCACTCTCTGTACCCTAGTCTTCTCAGTATGATGCTCGCATGTTTTAACAAAGGAAATATGCACCAATAGTTTTGGTAGTGTCGACCATTCAGCCATGCCTCACTTCACTTCACCTCAATCCTCAAAGAAGTCATGGTCATCAAAGTCGCCAGGCTGAGCGTCAGAGTCGTAGCCACTCTGGCGTATCATGGGCGGCGTGACGGGGTCCGCTGGCTGTTCCTGGCGACGCCGCGGCGTGCTGTCCGCTGGAGCCCCATATCCCTCCTCCTCCACCAGAGCAGAAGATTCAGACTCTCCGCGTGGACGGTTGTGGGCACTGCCGTGAGACGGGAACCGGCGTCCAGTGCTGGCAAAAGCAGTAGGCTGAGGCTTGCCATCAGCCGTGGGTGTTTGACGAAGGCCAGACGCAGGAGGCGTCAGAAGCCCGCTGAGAAGCTTGGACTGCTGGGCACTTGGGCCTTTGCTTCGCGAGGGCGTGGAGGCAGGACCCGCCGAGGGCGAGTTGAGCACGCCAGCCAAGAACGACGGGTGGCTGGACTTTCTCCATCGATCAAAGGCATTCAGGCTAGAGCCGATGGTCTGCGCGACTCGCGGAGTAGCGGCTTGGATGCTCTGAGCAATGTTGGGCAGAGTAATAGCTGAGCCGCCGTTCATTGCTCGCTCGCGCTCCTGCTCCTCCATTTGTAGGTTGGCCTTGAGTCTAATGGCGGCATCCTTGACTCTCTCGCGGTCAAAGGAGTCAATAGCCAGGGTCGCGATGATGTCCTGCAGATCGCTGTGTCTTACAGCAAGGAGCTCACGCAGCCAGCTGATTTCGTCGTCACGCTTCGAAATCTTGGAAGATGCTTCAGGATCCAGCTTGGCAACGTCTTGTTCAAGCTCTTCAATGCGCTGCTCGCGGGCCTGGAGCTGCTCCTGGAGAACCATGATTGATTCACGGAGGGCTTGGGGTGAGATCTTTTCGGGCAGTTTAGAAGCGACTGCAGTGCGATTTGTAACAACTGGAACAGCACCTGGAGCAGCGGCATGGGCGGACTCGACTCCCGCCACCTTGGCAGCCTGCGCAGCAGCAGCAGCGGCCTGCTTAGAGATCTCGAGCTTGTCTTCGAGGTGCAAAATGCGGTCTTTGAGATGTTCAATCTTGGACGAGGATAGGCTGAGGCGCTCCAATAACGCCTCCTCCGATCGTTGGTTGTCCTCAGCAGCATTTCCGATCTGGCGCTCATAGCGGGTTTGCATGTCCTCAATCTCGTTCTGATGCTTGCGCTGAAGTTCTTCTAGGGCTTGGGCCTTAGAGGTTTGCTCTCCCTCCAGGAGCATCTCATTACGCTCCTTGGCGGTGTCGGCCTCGAGTCTGATATTGTCAATCTCAGCACGGAGCTTTGCATTTTGATCTTCAAGCTCCCGGCGGACCATGTTGACCTGGTGGTTGGCTGCGTCAATCTCGGTTTGCAGAGCCATTCTTGTGCGCTTGACCTCGCTGGCGCCCGACTCACGAGCTTCTTCAAACTCACGCTGGTAGCGGGAAGCCGTCTGCTGGAGCTTGTCTTTCTCGGTACGAAGTTGACCAAGGATCCCCTCAAGGCGTGTGCATTCGTTGAGAGCACGCATGCCGCTTCTTTCATTGGTTTGAAGGCGTTCCATCTCAACTTCGAGACGCTCACGCGTCTTTGCTTCGGCCTGTAATCTGGCATCGAGCACTTCTTGGCGGGCAAGCATAGCCTGGTCCTTCTTTATGCGTCTGGCACTCTCTTCGGCGACCTCACGAGCAGCATTAGCCATGTCCTCTTGAAGAGACATGAACTTGCCTCGCCAGGATTCACGGAGACGTTCATTCTCTTGCAGCTGAGCAGTGAGAGTCTGGAGAAAGTTCTGAAGGCTCTTATTCTCGTCGCGAACAACAGCAAGCTCGCCAGCGTTGCGGCGAGCGTTCTCATCAGCTCGCTCAGCCTCCGTGCGCCAGTGCGTGTTGTCCTGGCGGACCTCCTTCAAGTCACCTTCCAAAGCGTTGAGCTTGTTGGTCATTTCACTCTGAGACTGACTTGCGTTGTTAGAAGCAGCCTCCAGCAGAGTCATACGCATAGCTTTCTTGCCGGCAGCCTGCTCCAACTCCTTGATCCTGCGATCACGGTCCTCAAGGGTTTCGGTAAGGCGACTTTCTTCCTCAGAAGCATGCTTGAGTTGACGCTGGACATCACAAAGCTTATCCTCAAGTAGGCGGCGCTGCTTGAGCTGCTCTTCCGTCTTTTCTTCTTGCAATCTGAGACGCTCTTCGAGGTCTCCCACACGCTGGTCATATACACTTTTGTTGATAATTTCAACTTCGACGCGAGTCTCGGCAGCGTTCAGCTTGCGGCTTAGCTCAGCGGCAGCGTCCTCTGCCTCCCGACGCTCCTGGACTTCCTTTTCGATCTTTTGCTGCTCGAACTGCAGGCGCTGCTCCAGGTCAATGTTCTTTGTTTGCAGTTGATCCAGTTTAGCGAGGATAGCATCATCAGATTGAGACGCACGTCTCATATCTTCAGCATGCCCATTCCCGAGGTCACGGTCGACATCGAGTGTGTTCTTCAATGTGCTGATGTGCTGCTTCATCTCTTCGAGAGCAGACAAGATAGACAGGTGTTCGACGGCTGGCGCCTCAATGGCTGGTTGGACATTTTGCTGCTGTAAAGCTAAAGCTTCGGTTATGGCGACACGGATTTGATCCATGCGGCGATCTCTGCGCGGGCTCATGGAACGCTTGATGACCAACTCATCGTCCTCGTCATCAGCATCGCTTTCCTGGTTTTCACCAGTCGTGCTTCTAATATCGAGCCGAGATGGAGCACGATGGCTCTTACTACCGAGAGCAGACTGGATTGAAAGTAGTGTTCTCTCCATGGGCTCGAGGCGAGACGCTAGTAGGCTACCAACAATCTCGTTGACTCTGCCATCAAAGAACTGGGTCCTGTTCTCGAGCTTGGAATGCTCCTCTTCGGAGAAAGCGCCTTCCCAGTCGCTGGAAGGCATACCAACGTGCTGCTGTTCATTGTCCCAGGCGTCAGGCGGGTCGATAAAGGGGTCCTCCAGCTGCGATTCCTTGGGGTACGGAGGAACTGGCTGATCGAACTGAGGAACGAAGTCGTGCGCGACGGCGCGTAACGTGTAGGAGGGCTGTCGGCTGGCGATTGGGCTGGTCTGGTTCCACATTGACTTCTGCAGTGGCTTCTTCTTGACGCCCATGCTCGGATCGGTCTCCATTTGTTGCATGACGGCGTCAATCTCTTCAAATGTAGGCTCATCCGTCTTAGCGTCCGTCTCGACGGACTCCTCGCCAAGTTCAATCAGTGTGTCTTGAGCCTCAATAGATGGCATGACATTGGCAAATGTGTCCTTCAAGGCAATCTCTTCGGGTCGAGGCTCCGGTAAAGAAGCAGGAGCGGGCTGGAGCTCGGGCTGCGCAAAGCGAGAAGCTTTCAGACCCTTTGGTTTGGCGGAGGGTAAGGGGGATGAAAATTGAGACTCGCCCGAGATCTTTGGAGTAATCTTCTTCAAATCGGAAATGGAACCAGAGTGCGTCATCTTGACAGGGCTTGGCTCTGCGCGGGTCAGTGTGGTCGGTGACTCCTCTCCATAAGAAAGAGCGCCGGGCGAGAACGGGATAGCAGTAGCGGAGAGCGAGTTTCTCTTGTGGGCTTGCTTCTTCGCTTTCAATTCTGCGGAGTGTTGGGCCTTGTGGCTATTGATAACGGCATCTTTGACGGTCTGCAGGGGCTGCCATTCATCGTTATTAGCAGACGGTAAACTTTCCTGAGGTACAACAGTGGTGTGCTTGGTCTCTACCTCATCTGCAGTGCCAGCGGACGATATTGAAGTGTCAATGAGCAGAGATTTGTCATGGGTGCTTTCCGATATGCTGGCGAGAGGCATCTGTGCAAATGGAGCTATATCTTGGTTTTCTGGTGCAAGACTCCTGGCGCGCTTGGCTCGTGATTCATCCTGGACGAGACGGCCATCGCTGTCGGTTTCGTCGTTAGGCCATTCAGCAACACCCGGCAAGGGCGACTTCGCCGACGATCTGCTAGATGGCCGAACGATAGGGATGGCCTTGGAAGTGCGAGTGGGGTGGACAATCTCGCTCGTGTCGATGTTGATATTTCCGAAGATGGAGTCTGTGCGCCCTTGGTGCCCCTTCTCAGATTTGTTCAGTGAGTTGACAAGGGGTTGAAATGGGGTGAATGACGGCGCGTCAGGTCTAAACTTGGGTCCGGACGTAGAGAAGCTAAATTTGCTCTGGCTTGGAGCAAACGAAGGAAAGCTAGCGGTCATACCAAAAGCGCTGCTACCAAATTCGGTCATATGAGGATCCGGCTCGACGTAGTCCTCGACTCCAGCTTGAAATATTGCAGGTTGGAAGCTTGCTGCGCCAGGTTGGAAAGTAGAAGCAGAAGAGAAATTGAGTCCGCCAGGGGTGAAGTTGCTTGTAGGATTGAACTTGAACTCAGGCGCCTTGACATTGAGCTTCGAAGTTGACGTTTTCCTTTCTTGATCAGAAAGCGCGACCGACTCGTTGGCATTATTCCAGGGATTGCTTGCGCTTGACATGGTCTTTTGATGTTGGTGTAGCATGGCAGGGAAATCGAAATTTTGCACAGGAGTGCCCAGATTACTAGGATTTGTCTCAATCTCGTAGGCTTCATCACCCTCGGGTTTGTTAGACTCGGGAATGCCATTGAGTCGACCAAAGTCGGATCCATCAGCTTGCGCTTCGTGGTCTCGGAAGAATGTTTGCGTAAGGGACTGGCCACGACTGTGAGGGCGGGGATGATGAAGAACAATTGGCTTGGCCTGGTCATTGGCAAAGTGCTCTGAAACAGCCAAATTGCCAGAAGCTTGACGGTCATGGGCGGAAGCAAGATTCTCATGGTTGGTAGCAGAGTTGCTCTGGGTCTGGGGATTGTAGTCCTCATGCTCGAGCTGGTTGCGGAGCTGCTCTTCGAGGTGGTACTGAGCGTCCTGCATTTCGGCCTGCATTTCGACTTGCTGTGGCTTAGGGGGCTCTGGCGTCTTGGATGGACTCTTGGCGTAATCCTCTTCGTCTTCTTCGTCATCCTCGCGCACTTGCTGCAGGTGAGGTGATGCTCTTGCCATCTGCTGAGGGAAGTACTGCAGAGACTGATGCCTGTGGTGAGCGTTGAAGGCGGGACTTCCTGACAAAGGAAAGCCGTCTAGGTCGTAGGGAGATTGTGGTGAGACGATGCCATTGAGGCCAAGAAGAGGTGAGTCGATGCGCGCAAGGCTTTGCAGAATGCCGGCCTGATTTTGCCATCCCTGTACATGCGACATCTGG